AATGTCCTCTGCAATAAAGATTCAAGCCAACAAGTGTATGTCGATCCATCGACCGACCCATCTACGGTGTTTACGCTACAGTGGGAAGACTGGGTAAGGATACACCTATGTCCGGCAGCCACGCATGCTTGTCAGTCACTGAATTTTCTGGTCTGGACTGGCCAGTTATTTTTAAACACCTGGTATCTGGATGACCATGGGGATAAACCAACAATTACTATTTGACTTACAATATGATATCGATCGCACGAAGGGGAATAACCGCACAGAATACACTGCTGATATTTTCTGCAAAGTCATCGATTTACTGTGAATTCTGTCAACTCATTACTATTTGACTTACAATATGGTATCGATCGCACGAACGTGTGTAACCGCACAGAATACACTCCTCATATTTTCTGCAAAGTCACTGTTTTACTGTGAATTCTGTCAACTCATTTCTTAATTTTTTTAATTTTATTTAGTTGTCGAAATGCCCTTAAAATGAATGGATAGTTGTACATCGCAAACGCAGGCAGTGACTCGATCATTTGCGTAACAAGTCTAATTTGGCTATTCCAAAGTTTCCAACCACAGTTTTCCACAAGTCATTTATCTATGATTGTGCTTGTTTATGGAATAATCTCTCCTCCACAATAAAATGTACCGATTTATTACCATCAATTAAATTTTTCGTTATCTGAAAGTAAAGCTTGCCTTTGTGGTGCTCTGGTGGAATATGCCAATCGTTTCTTCTTAAAATGTCCAAAGTATGTCAGCTGCCGGTCTGATTTGATACAAGGCTTTGAAATCATAAAATTTAGCTTAAACATTAACACCATTCTGTAACACCAAACTATAAATGAAAATATTTTTTTGTCTAGTCCATTAATTCATTGTACGTGAATGTCAATGAATGTGTAATCTGTCTTGCCTCTGTTCATCGTCCATTGCATGTATTTTTCCATGTGATTGTCAGGAGCGGGTTTTAATAAGTTGAGTAACTTGCCCAACCCCTTTCAGTGCTGAGTAAAATATGTTCAAACAAGCATTGTCACTAAGGTGACATAATCCCCCGCCGCAAATTATCAAATCAAACTTAAAAAGTAATGAAAGTGAAGGTCGTAATTTAAGATGAAGTTAAATGTCAACAAAAACATGACCAGTCAACCTCTCTTGATATCTTGCTCTGTAGTTGTTCAAACGCACAGATATTTTCAAGACTCACTTTGACCTTGACATGAATGTTTTAGTGTATGAAATATGCAAAAATAGTAATAAAGAAATTGCTTATTTAAAAACATTCAAGGGAAGTCTTGAAAGTCTATGAAGAAAATCCAGTGAACTGTTCTTGAGATATCTCGCTGACAATCTTTACATGCAGTTTAACATGCTGAAATCTTCAAAGTGTCGCAGTGACCTTGAAAATTATGTGAAGGTCACCAAAATCGACTGGGCCCTGCACCTTCCCTCGATGAAGCTTGGTGTCAAATATAAAAAAAGTCCAGTGAATGGTTCTTGAGATATCTCGCTGACAATTTTTACATGCAGGTTAAAATGCTGAAATCTTTAAAGTGTCGCCATGACTATGAAAATTAGGTTAAGGTCACCGAAATCCACTGGGCCCTGCGCCGTCCCTAGATAAAGCTTGGTGTTGAATATGAAGATATCTCGCTGACAAGGGTAAAACGTGAAAGTCCCCTTGTGACCTTGAACTGATGGTCAAGGTCACCAAACCTAACTGGGACCTTTCTTTTACTGTGATGAACCTAGGTACCAAATATGAAAAGAATCCAGTTAACGGTTCTTAAGATATTCCAATTCGTACGTACGGACGGACGGACGGAGCCTAATACTATATACACTGTAAGGGACTTGTTACGCACATGTATACACTGTAAGGGACTTGTTACGCACATGTATACACTGTAAGGGACTTGTTACGCACATGTATACACTGTAAGGAACTTGTTACGCACATGTATACACTGTAAGGGACTTGTTACGCACATGTATACACTGTAAGGGACTTGTTACGCACATGTATACACTGTAAGGGACTTGTTACGCACATGTATACACTGTAAGGGACTTGTTACGCACATGTATACACTGTAAGGGACTTGTTACGCACATGTATACACTGTAAGGGACTTGTTACGCACATGTATACACTGTAAGGGACTTGTTACGCACATATATACACTGTGAGGGACTTGTTACGCACATGTATACACTGTAAGGGACTTGTTACGCACATGTATATACACTGTAAGGGACTTGTTACGCACATGTATACACTGTAAGGGACTTACTATACGCACATGTTACGCACATGTATACACTGTAAGGGACTTGTTACGCACATGTATACACTGTAAGGGACTTGTTACGCACATGTATACACTGTAAGGGACTTGTTACGCACATGTATACACTGTAAGGGACTTGTTACGCACATGTATACACTGTAAGGGACTTGTTACGCACATGTATAAGGGACTTGTTAGCGCACATGTATACACTGTAAGGGACTTGTTACGCACATGTATACACTGTAAGGGACTTGTTACGCACATGTATACACTGTAAGGGACTTGTTACGCACATGTATACACTGTAAGGAACTTGTTACGCACATGTATACACTGTAAGGGACTTGTTACGCACATGTATACACTGTAAGGAACTTGTTACGCACATGTATACACTGTAAGGGACTTGTTACGCACATGTATACACTGTAAGGGACTTGTTACGCACATGTATAAACTGTAAGGGACTTGTTACGCACATATATAGACTGTAAGGAACTTGTTACGCACATGTATACACTGTAAGGGACTTGTTACGCACATGTATAAACTGTAAGGGACTTGTTACGCACATATATAGACTGTAAGGGACTTGTTACGCACATGTATACACTGTAAGGAACTTGTTACGCACATGTATACACTGTAAGGGACTTGTTACGCACATGTATACACTGTAAGGGACTTGTTACGCACATATATACACTGTAAGGGACTTGTTACGCACATGTATACACTGTAAGGGACTTGTTACGCACATGTATACACTGTAAGGGACTTGTTACGCACATGTATACACTGTAAGGGACTTGTTACGCACATGTATACACTGTAAGGAACTTGTTACGCAAGGGGACTTGTTACGCACATGTATACACGCACATGTATACACTGTAAGGGACTTGTTACGCACATGTATACACTGTAAGGGACTTGTTACGCACATGTATACACTGTAAGGGACTTGTTACGCACATGTATACACTGTAAGGGACTTGTTACGCACATGTATACACTGTAAGGGACTTGTTACGCACATGTATTCACTGTAAGGGACTTGTTACGCACATATATACACTGTAAGGGACTTGTTACGCACATGTATACACGGGAAGAGCACTGTTGAACACATATATACACGGGAAGAGCATGTTCAGCGCATACATACACGATAAGAGTGAGAGAGTCAAGTTTTTACGCCGCTTTTAGCAATATTCCAGCAATATCAGGAGGCTTTAACCATTAGGCTACCCCCCACCGCCATCAAGAGCATTGATAAGCACATTATATACACCGGAAGAACATCGGTAAGCACGTATACAAACTGGAAGCACATGTATATTTTTTGGGTAATTTAACAATTTTTATTTCCTGTTTCCCCTGTTACAGTAGAAGGCAATAGGCCAGGGGACTCTAGGGCCTTTTGCAAGCAAACTTTGACAACAGAAAAACAGGATTTTTTTCTAACAAAGCACAAAACAACAACACACAAGACCCCATAACACATTCACTCAGTGGAAGTACATATTTTGTTCAGCACATGTAACACTCAGCGAAAACAGCCCCGCAATATTTAACGGTGACAGATGTTCGTAACAAATCGACCTATAGTGTCATAGCACCGCTACACAAGCTATACAGGCTTTATTGCCTACTGAGGTTACCGACAACCTTGCTCCATTAGTATATAGGACATACTAACATCATGGATTTAAATCATGTTATAACTTTCCGCACGCTCTGGAAGACACACCAGAAACAGCTGAATCTGGGGAGGAAAATACCAACATTCCGAACAGCACGACGCCTGAGTGTCAACGGTGAATCCCACTGGTTATCCACAGATATAGTTCGATGGTAGGATAATCAATAGCAGGGATATATGTCAGTCAGATTAGCGTCTCCCCTGATAGTAACGTACATAGTTAAAAAAATTAATTCAAGAACGGAGATAATCCCTGTGTAAGTCCAGTGAGGCGTAAAGTCCTCATCATGATTTATTACAACGGACAAACTTTTTTTCGTGTGGTTAGTTAGTTTGTCGGTGCACTCATTTACACTAAATGACGGCTTTGAGTAAATACATATGTAATTCACCCGGCACCGAGACGATCCCTGATACAACTAGCTTGACCATCATTTAGTAATTCAACTCTTACAACAATGTTTACTTTGGAATTATATGTGGGTGTCATTATTATATAATCTGGTTCTCTCCTTTGGTTTGAATATGTCAAATACATAATTTACACGCACGTTATGCATTCATTTAGTTGGATAATCAATTATCATTAAAACGAATTGACAACACAGTGAACAATTTCTTGTATAAATATTATTTTGTAATCAATGTTTTATTTATTATATAATACTAAAATTATATGTATAAATATTAACGAAAAATGCAAAATATTTAATTTCATAACAACGTAATCCTGCCATATTTCAAATTTGGAAGTACAATGCAGTGTGTCGTGTTTCAACACACATGCTGTTGGTATATGAATTTCTTAATACAAATAACACAAGCGAGAGAAAAGAATATATACAAATATATCAAATATCCCCTTAGACTAGAAATCTTAAATCATCAGAGGTTTAAAGTTGCCCGCAATGCGCTGCCCACGCGACTGAAATACACAGGCTACGAGTCATTAACATATATGACGTCAGCACTACTTCGGCTGTTTCCGTCGTCCCGATACAGTCTTGTGTCGTGTGGCAGTGTAGATAAAGTCCTATCTCGTTCCACTGGTGATCTAGAGCACCCTTGCACGAGCACGGAGGTGACAATCACGAAGATTCTCTTAAATCGACAATGGGTTCCAAGTCGGCACTGGATGGACTGACAACTGTCACCGTCGTAAGCTGCGACACTGGAGACTTCGACGGTGAGCATTTTGCTGTACATAGTTGTTGCTGATGCCGATGTGGATTTTTAGGTATTAGCAGTTTTAGACAATATAAGTCAAGGGTGATGTACATGACGGACATCGCGTTGCTCGTGATTTGTCGGCGAAAGTCGGACACTGACACTTGATCGTAGAATCTCCCAGTGAAAATACCCAGTTGAAAGACATGTTTCAGTCAGGATTTACTTGGATACGTATAATACTGTATTAGTATACAACATTTATCTACAAATTATCGTAATCTACTATTTTTAAAAGCTTAAAATATTTTCTGTCCTCTTTTCGATCCATAGCACTTGTCGATGCAGTTTTATAAAATATAAACAATTAAAGTGTATAATAAGCTCTTGCATTTTAAGTTCTATGAAAGGTAAATATTGAGTTAGATAATTAAATGCGTTCTTGCATGCATGTCTATGCAGCCATGCAGGTATTTCACCCATTGATTGTGTTTCAAGGAACATCTGATATACATGCAGAGTTATGTGATACATATACAATGTACTTGAAATGTCCATCATCAGCGCGTCATCTGTTACTCCTATCACATTTTAACATTAACAACGCGTCAAAAGCTGTTGTCGAGCACCGGCGCCCATTATCAAGGTCGCAGTCAAACATAACACTGATTTTCAACATAATCACATATTCGTTGTCAGTATTGGCGTAATGGCATATGATGTGGTTCCATGCGTTTTTTATGGGGACATTATATTAAACAAATTGGTTTTATTTTTGTTTGAAAATTAGGTGAAAGAGTGGAAATATGGTTTCCATGGAAACATATGATTTTAGTTGAGTGAGTGATGTAGTATATAACTCCAGAATATTTTAATTCACCATTTAATTCAAGTTTATAAGAATGATTGCTGATTAGATGAGCAAAGTTCCAGCAAAAATAGGCTTCACGCGTTATGCCAACCCTTGGAATCGAACCCAGGTCAAACGATCAGAGGGCCGGTAAGGTAGCCTAATGGTTTAAAGGGCCTGACTCGTTTCCCCATGGGTACAATGTGTGGTGTCACTGGCTCTGATATTGCTGGAATATTGGGTAAACCCATTCTCACTCTTTCGCTCACTCTAACACTCTATAACGAGAACCGCTACCAGATCTGTGCTCAACTGTCGTCAGTGAATGAGAAAAACTCCCCGAGAAATAGGCTACAGTTTTACGCAGACCCAAGGAGACACGTCCTACTTCTGCGATGTACAACTATTCATTCAGGTTAAGGTCATTTCAATACAAAATATATACGAGAATGAGTTGACAGAATTCACGGCAAAACGATGACTTTGCAGAAAATATGAGGAGTGTATTCTGTGCGGTTATCCCCCTTCGTGCGATCGATATCATATTGTAAGTCAAATAGTAATTGTTGGTTTAACCCTGTGGTCATCAAGATACCGGATGTTTAAATATGCAGCTTGAATATGTGTACGGCATCATATGTTATTTAGGTTGAATGCTTCGCTAGTCCCGCGGGTAACTAGGGTTCTATTCTTAACGTATGCATACGTAACACAGCTATATGACGGCGGTCCGTACATGATCTGGACCAGACAATCCAGTGATCAACACCATGAGAATAGATCTACGCAACTGGAACACGATGACATGTGTCAACCAAGTCAGCGAGTCTGATCACCCGATCCCGTAGTTGCCTCTTATGACAAGCACGGGTTGCTGAAGACCAATTCTAACCCGGATCTTGACGGGTGAAATCTAATAGTGTTCCATCAATCTCTCAGTTGAAATATCCGACACTATAGTAGTCTATACCCCCCTGCGCAAAGCAGACATTCATAATATCTGAGTTAAATATTTGCGTTTAATGACATTGGTGCTGCTTTACAAAATTCGAAACATACAGCTGGGATGTAGCTTTTACACTCACTCTCTCACTCACTCACTCATTCACTCGCTCGCTCACCCAGGGAAGCGGGAGAGATAGGGACTACGGCCTTAAGTCTGGTGTATTGTAAGTTAACTGTTGTTTCAAAGGGCAGATACAAGCTTACCTCTCTGTGATATGAATCTTTGGATGAGTACGTATATCAAATTCACATAAGGATGTAAAATAGCTCACTTTCCACATCCGATATCTCCTTACCAGGATATGCCGTGAATACGGGCATACTTCCGGTCATTTGTGCATGACTTCCGGTATGACGCCGTACACTGACAAACCGTGATGCATGAGCAGAGCACAGACACGATATATTCCTGCAACAGCCCACAGCCTCATAAAGTATTCATGTCATATCCCCGGCTGTCATTCCTGTCCAGTGCTAACCATATTTGCTTGAGACAAATTCCGGAATTACAAATCAATGGTTGTTCGATAATGCGATAACCAGAACTTATTAACTACAATGATATGAGACACGTGAACTGCATAGGAACTGTGATTTGATGCCTTGGTCTGAAGTCAAAAGATATCCCAGCAATGTCACAGCGATCTGTACATGGTGGAGGCTGGGTAATAACAGCATCCCACGCCACTGTGATAGCCTTGGATGCTATAGGCTGCCTAGCTGGGGTCTATTCGGACTCTGTAGTCTGGTACGCGGGACACAAATGTAATCGTATTTGGTAGGCTAATCCGATTCAACCAAACGAAACACCACAATGTGCTTTACAAATTACTTTCCATTTCATTTTTTCTATATATAAGTTGAAATCGCACCTTTTCTCAATGCTTTTGAGTTTTGTTTTAAAGGTGAGATTCAGAATGAAACTTTAGATGGCATTCGGATTCAGCTGAGGGCGGAGTTGGCGTTCCCCAATCAGCCAGGTTACCCAACGTGACCACTCCCGATTTTTACCTGTGCCAAAACAACAACAAAAAACTAAGAAAAAACAAACAATGTCTTTCAGTGGCATTTAGAAGTTGTACATAGATGTCCAAGATAATTTTTTTTGGATTAAACTTCTTTTTTATTTCCCCCACGACGCTCACCTGATGAAGGGACCTGGAATGGTCCTGAAACCTCGTGAGGGAAATAAAAAAGAAGTTTAATCCATAAAAATATCTTGGACAAAAAAAACCCCAAACAACAAAGTAATATAGAACATTTCCCCAGCCAGAATTCCTAGCGGCGCATAATTGTTTTCTTTGTTAAGACAGCTAGTTTGATACCACTGACTTATGTTATCTGAACAATATGTTCATTTCCAAAGAGTGGAGAAGGGGGTGAAAATGGAATGGGCATAGATGCTTTGGTATACTCTTGGAAACAAGGTTCAAAATCCACTTTTAAACAAAGAAGTTAAATGTACAGGTGAACTATTTCCATCTCCGAAACTCCCATGTAAAAAAAAAAAAGCCAAACGGTGAACGCTTTTGTGAGAATCAGAAACACTAATGACAGCTTTTAAACAAAGAATATCTATCTGTATTACGCCCAGTCAGTGCGACTGCCTTGGGCAGGTTGTTTGGCCAATGTGTGCAATGTGCAACAATGATCTGCTCATTTCATGAAATGGGCAACAGTTGTGAATAAAAAAATATTTTCCAAATTCTTCACAACATGGGCAAGCAGCTTGCTCATTAACATAGATGCTCTGACATCTCATCTTGAAGAGTGCCACACACTGACTCCGTGATCCAACATGACGCTAGCACCCCCACAGAGAACCAACTGATCTAGAGTTTGATCAGAGTGTCAACTTTACAATCTAAGTGAAAACAGGCTGTACTGTTTTACGAGAATTGATAAAAACTTGATCATGTATATACTCTATTTAAGCATGGAATAATCTTCACATGTGGCGACTTGTTCTATTGCCCATGCAGGTTCATCAGTATGACCTCTCTGAACTACAGGACTCACCTTTTGAACCCGTGTGAACAATTCGTTTCTATTGTCAATTTCCTCAATATAAATCTCCTCTATAAGGCGTACTGAACACATCTACCATCTCACAAATGAACATCGTTCGAGCATATCATCCCAACTATCAACAGACGCTATCAAACTGCTGTTAAAAGGGGAAACGGGTATGAGACAAAAGTTAAAGAATGTTTACGATCCGTGTTTGGAGCTAGGTACGTCGAGACAGCCCTGTTGATGTAACCACGGCGCGATGAGAACAAATGCCCTTCTATCTAAAATACGAATGAAAAGGTGTTGAAGAGAGATTATGGTTGGTATATTTCTCCGAATAAGAATTTGCATCTTACACCTATGGTTTTGAACAAGGAGTGTTTAGCAGTCATTGTCAGTCGACGTATTGAGAATAGATGTATTCTTAACGAATCGCTCGGGGATTTCCGAGTTTGATATCTGTGTGTATATGTGGGATAGGATGTGTCCCAGGATTAATGCAACGTGGTTGAAACGTTACCTGAGTCGACATGATGTTAGATTTTAACCCACTCACTCACTTAAATTACGTCATGTGTTTCTGTTGTCTGTTTAGTTGTTACCAAAAACCTCTCAAAGTAAAGATGAAATAATAGACTGACAAATACATTTAATATGTAAAAAGTACATATAGATAAATACAATAGAGAATTTGTCACATTATTTTTACAACATACGGATACAAAAACACCACAAATACACCCCATCGTGTGCAGGTTGTTTAACCCCGCACAGAGCACTTGTCCAGCTATGTGACTACGGTCTGTGAGTAATCAAGTCTGGACCAGACAATCTAGTGATTGACATAATGAGGAACGATATGCGCAGACATGTGTCAGCCAAGTCAGCGAGCTTGACCCCGTTAGTCCAACAAGCAAGGTTTGCTGAAGACCCAATCCGGATCTTCGGTTGATAAAACCCCAAAGTACCAACAATTCCCCAACATTTGTATACATTTTCATTGTCATTCACTGTGCGATTTTGCGCCTAGTGCGTTAAGAAGGTGCAATTATATAACTACTCATTAAAATTAATGAACGATAGTAAATATACCACATTTCTACGGAAGTCAACATGTTGACTATAATATAATGTGGGAGTTTCTGATATGCATGTACTCGTACGGCGTATGTTTTCAGCTTCACTTGATATTTCTATTTATATAATATCATTGATTCTATAAAAGTAACCGCCTCCGTGGTGTAGTGGTTAGAGCGTCCGCCCGGAGAGCGGAAGGTCGCGGGTTCGATCCCCGACCGCGTCATACCAAAAGACGTTAAAATATGGTACTTGTTGGTCCCTGCCTGGCGCTCGGCATTAATGGGTACAACAAGGACTGGTCGGCTCGGAGTCAGTATAATGTGTCTGAGTGGGGTACTCATGCTTCACTGCGGCATGGCATCTCAGTGGGCTAGCACTATAAAACCAGCTTAAGTCTGGGCTAGTACAAGTAGCCGCACATACACATACACACGCATGCACGTCGTCATATGAGCGAAATATTCTCAAGCACGACGTTAAAACCCAATTTCACCTCACCTCACTTATAAAAGTGTTTTCCTGATTTTCCTTGGAGGTTTTCTCATTGTTACCGATTTTGTTTATGCTTCAACTTACCTGTAAATGCTGTAGTTTAAAATACTATATAGCTATTAAGACCAAACGTTGCAGTTGCTTCTCTCCCCTTATTTGTTTAGGATATATGATGTTGTTATTGTTTGCTGCTGTTTCTACTTTTATTTTGTGATTCAGCATTTAGTGGTCAAGAAATCTTAGTGTGTATCGCTACCCATAAGTCCGCGATCGCACATGCATAAGGCGTAAAAACGTTTACTGGGGAACGGCCACCTGCCAAGGTCAATGTTATCGCGCATGCGCACTATAATACAGAAATCAGCTTTGAAGTATACTGCGGGAAAGATTGCAGGCTAAGTCCTGACCAGCTGACTCCTCACGAACAGTGTAGATTATGACCGACACCAAAAAGCAAGCTATGACGTCCCTTTGCCAGTTGAAAGAGAACACGGTTGTTGTCGCCGATACCGGTGATTTTGAAGGTGAGATTGGTGTCCTCGATGTGTGGCCTTGTAAACAGGGCATGTAGCGGGAACTAAATTCAGTCCATCCGTGAAAGGCGTGGTGGACACGTGGAAAATGTGCTGATACTGTTGACAGAAATGCACTAGAAGTTTAAAATATATATATGCAAGCAGCTACATACATATCAATTTATACATGTCGATAGAAAACTGACGAAGTTCCCAGGCTTCCCCCAAAGCGAGTGTCAGCATGACATTGCAACTCTTTAATGCAGTGTTGGACCTGAACATGTATATGTAAATTTGTTCACTTCGCTGTATTCTCACGAGGAGAAACCCCCGACGTGCTTATCAGTACTGACAATAGCAAGATCGTGAAGACTTCAGGATTTTATCGTTGCTTATATATGCGATAATGTACTGACTACTGTGCCATTAAATATTTTGATGAGCAAACCACTCAAACGGGAACTCAGTGTTTAATGGTGCGGTATATGACTAAGATGTCATAGTAAAAACACACCATGACTTCCCTTGGTGAAATTGACATTAAAGTAGTATAAGGCATGAATAGTGCAAATAATAAAACGAAATTCCCTGACAGAGATAATTATTGGGTTTTTGTGTTCTAAAGCAAAAGAAGGTAATTAGGTAAAACTGCACCTAAAAGACCCCCACAAGAATGAAAGGCTATGTATAGGTAAGACTTAAGAACACTCAGCTGAGTATATCTACAAAGTGACCCATATTACCGATTCTGTTGTACACCGTGGTCAATGACCTGAAACACAATGCAGGGCTCCAGATAAGGGTCGTATCGGCGTATGTACGGATATAAAGTAAGCACGATACGGTAGGAAATAATTTAAAAAACGTAGCAGATACGCACCACAGCAATGGTGTACGGTCTTAGAATCCTTTATAGATGTATTTATCTGAAAATGTATTGTTTTATTGATTATTGCTATGTGGTGCATATATGAAACGAAACACAAGATTACTGATACTCCATTAAATCCCATTCAGTATTCTAAATGTACTCTTAAGGTTTTCCAGTACTCCTGTATTGAAAAAATAAGGAGTACGTACTCCTGATGTTGAAAAATTATCTGGAGCCCTGACAATGGTCTTTGTGTACAAATGTAACTGATAGCTTCATGTCACTGTCATTATGATTTGACAGCTCCCTGCATTGTATACATGTGCCTTTTTAGCCAAGGTGTTCTGTAGCTTTCTCCTCTAGAGACCTTGTAACTACAAATTGAATTGTGATGCAAACATCCTTGATTGTGTATTTGATTAATACAGTGGACTCATTCACAGCTTTAATTTGTGTCTAATTTGAATGACGGATACAATGCAGAAATACAATAGCTGTCCATTCAAACTATACCTGTATAAACCAGCACCCCACGGGACCTAAATAAAATGCCGGTTTAGACAGGGTGACGGATTAGACAGTGACAATCATTTTCCAACACTCGTCAATCTCTTTATTTTTATAATGCCTTTGATCAAATGTTTTTAACAAGTGTTAACTCCAAACGTGCCCGCTTAGCTGGTCTAGCCATTGATACACCACACAATTACTACTTCCTGATTATCTTGCGTGCCAAGAGGATTAATTAGCGCATTGGATTATGGGTCGTTGAATGGACTGCTCATACCCATGCCGGTTTAGACGATGTTAATTACAGTTAAAATTGCTTGTTGGGACCGAAAGTGGTACCCAATTACTGAATAGACATGTGCCGGATTAGACAATGTTTTAATGATCATAATGTTGTGAAATGGCGGGACAAAATTTTATGCCGGTTTTGACAGTGTGCTGGATTAGACAGGAGCCGGTGTTGGCAGGTTTCGCTGTAGTTAAATGGAGAGATGATACATGTATGTCCTTGGAGAACATAAGAACATAAATATGTTTCTTGAGCCAGTGAAATTGCAGTGAAGGGTCTGCTTCTGCAACCTTTCTAGTTCAGCCTTCGTGTGTTTCAGCCATGAAGAAGTACAAGCCGACGGATGCAACAACCAATCCATCCCTCATCTTTGCTGCCTCCAGCATGCCAGCCTATCAGCCACTTATTGATGAAGCAATAGAGTATGCTAAGGCTAAAGGAGGGTAAGCAGAGACTGACTGTTTGTGTATCTTACTTCATCTTGAGGGACCCGTGAAGGTCTGGGTTAGAATATTGATCTTCAGTAACCCATGCTTGTCGTAAGAGGTGACTAACGGGATCAGGTGGTCAGGCTTGCTGACTTGGTCAACACAATCATGACATCGGTTCCCAATTGCACAGATCGATGCTCATGCTGTTTCTCTGGACTGTCTGTTCCAGACTCGATTATTTACACACCACCGCCATATAGCTGGAATATTGCTGGGTGTGGCGTAAAACTAAACTCACTCATTCACTCCTCTTGAGGGGGCGGTGGGGTAGAATATTGCTGAAAGTGGTGGAATATTGCTAAAACCCAACTTATTCTGTTCTGGAGGGTCCATAAAGAACTGATGTTCTCGGACACAGTGTTTGACTGCACAAATACAACCGCTTCTCGGCAAGGACATTATAAGCTGTATGCTTCTCCCTCGGGTAATACAGTCTGATGTACGCCTCTTTATAGCAGTGTCACCCGAGCCGGTAGGTGAGGTGATGGGGTTAAAGATCGCTACCGACTACATGTATACATATGACATGCAAACAAAATGGCGTCTGGCATCAGTGAAACATATTCTGACAAGCATAAAACTGCTTTAAAAATTGATAATTATGTTTAAGCTGAGTGTGTAAACAACTCAATGTATAAAATAGCTTAGATAAAGCAGTGAAAGTCGGTAAAATAAATCTGTACAATGTGAACAGAAAAACAGCTGATTGAACGGTTTTCGAAATCCGGGCACTGCATGCATCATATTATGACGTTATACAAATTTTAGCGCTTTATCTTCTCGGTGGAGAGCTTGGCGGTTACCGTGGCAGCAGGAAATTTTTTTTCCAGTTGTCACCCTCCTGGGAGGTTAACATTTGCTGTTTTTGTAGGAGCATCAATGTTCACACTGTTACACGTGACATGGCACAACATTTGCTGTTTTTATAGGAGCATCAATGTTCACACTGTTACACGTGACATGGCACAATATTTGCTGTTTTGTAGGAGCATCAATGTTCACACTGTTACACGTGACATGGCACAACATTTGCTGTTTTTGTAGGAGCATCAATGTTCACACTGTTACAACGTGACATGGCACAACATTTGCTGTTTTTGTAGGAGCATCAATGTTCACACTGTTCCACGTGACATGGCACAACATTTGCTGTTTTTATAGGAGCATCAATGTTCACACTGTTACACGTGACATGGCACAGCATTTGCTGTTTTTGTAGGAGCATCAATGTTCACACTGTTACACGTGACATGGCACAATATTTGCTGTTTTTATAGGAGCATCAATGTTCACACTGTTACACGTGACATGGCACAATATTTGCTGTTTTTGTAGGAGCATCAATGTTCACACTGTTACACGTGACAAGGCACAACATTTGCTGTTTTTGTAGGAGCATCAATGTTCACACAGTTACACGTGACATTGCACAATATTTGCTGTTTTTGTAGGAGCATCAATGATCAGGTTGGAGAGGCCATGGACAGGGTGTGCATCAACTTTGGTTGTGAAATCCTCAAGATCATCCCCGGCCGAGTGTCCACAGAGGTCGATGCCAGGTACATCTTCACCACTTGTATCTCAGCCCTGCTTATGTCTCCGCTAGACGTCAAGTGGGATCATTGCTCTCTCTTTCAATTACAAGTTCTTGTGGGCATACTACAATTTCAAGTATATTAATTGTCCATTTTGTTCCCAAAATGTGTGAAGATAAGGATTTGTCAGAATTAGCTGCTGTTCATTCAGACTTTGTTGTCCCTTGAAACCCAGGTTAGCATTGGTCTCACTGACCCATGCTTGTTGTAAGAGGCAACTTACAGGATCCAGTGGTCAGACCTGCCAACAGGCTTGTTGTCATTGGTCTCACTGGACCCATGCTTGTTGTAGAGGCAACTTAAGACAGGCAAGTGGTCAGAGGATCCAGTGGTCAGACCTGCCGAACTGGCTTGTTGTAAGAGGCAACTAACAGGATCCAGTGGTCAGACCTGCCAACTGGCTTGTTGTAAGAGGCAACTAACAGGATCCAGTTGTCAGACCTGCGAACTGGCTTGTTGTAAGAGGCAACTAACAGGATCCAGTTGTCAGACCTGCGAACTGGCTTGTTGTAAGAGGCAACTAACAGGATCCAGTGGTCAGACCTGCCCACTGGCTTGTTGTAAGAGGCAACTAACAGGATCCAGTGGTCAGACCTGCCAACTGGCTTGTTGTAAGAGGCAACTAACAGGATCCAGTGGTCAGACCTGCCAACTGGCTTGTTGTAAGAGGCAACTAACAGGATCCAGTGGTTGACCCATGCAGACCTAACAGGATCCAACCTGCCAACTGGCTTGTTGTAAGAGGCAACTAACAGGATCCAGTGGTCAGACCTGCGAACTGGCTTGTTGTAAGAGGCAACTAACAGGATCCAGTGGTCAGACCTGCCAACTAACAGGCTTGTTGTAAGAGGCAACTAACAGGATCCAGTCCAGTGGTGTCAGACCTAACAGGATCCAGTGGTCTCACTGATGCTTGTTGTAAGAGGCTGGCTTGTTGTAAGAGGCAACTAACAGGATCCAGATCAGTGGTCTCACTGACTGTTGTAAGAGGCAACTAACAGGATCCAGTGGTCTCACTGACCCATGCTTGTTGTAAGAGGCAACTAACAGGATCCAGTGGTCTCACTGACCCATGCTTGTTGTAAGAGGCCATACTTGTTGTAAGAGGCAACTAACAGGATCCAGTGGTCTCTGACCCATGCTGAGGCCTAACATGCTTGGCTTGTAAGAGGCAACTAACAGGATCCAGTGGTCTGCCAACCTGGATCCAACTGGCTTGTTGTAAGAGGGCAACTAACAGGATCCAGTGGTGACCTGCGAGCTGGCTCTTGTTGTAAGAGGACCACAGGCTGCCAACTGGCTTGTTGTAAGAGGCAACTAACAGGATCCAGTGGTCAGACCTGCGTACTGGCTTGTTGGCTTGTTGTAACCTGCGAGTTGGCTTGTTGAGGCAACTAACAGGATCCAGTGTGCTCAGACCTGCCAACTGGCTTGTGTGACAATTGCTGATGTCATCATGTTGCATAGATTGATGCTCTTCACTTGTCCAGACTCAAATAATTACAGACCGCTGTCATATAGCTGGACAATTGCTGAGTGCAGTGTTGAACAACAAATCAGTTTTATAAAATATAACAAAGTTTGAAAAACCTAAAAAGTTTGACCATTGTTCATTGATCACCTTCTGATAGGTACTATGTATTCATGGCCATGTGATTGTTACAGGTTATCTTTCGATAAGGATGCAATGATAGCCAAGGCTCAGAAACTCATCCAGATGTACAAGGATTTGGGCATCGACAAGGAAAGAATTCTCATCAAACTCTCCTCAACCTGGGAGGGTATTGAGGCAGCCAGGTGAGGGGTCAGACAATCACATGTAACCATTTCAGGGTAAAAGTTGTTGGCATGTTAACCTGGTAAATAGAGAGGGTGGATCATGGTGTTTCAGTTGAAAATATCTAATAAAATAATAATAAATGTAGGTGATCTATAATTCCATGGCAGTATTATCGTTAGTTTTGTTCTTCTGCATTTTTACTCAAAGGAAGTCTAAAAGAAATAGGTTTACAAGGCCTAATTGTTTGATAACTGTACCAAATCCCAACTGTTCCAGGTTCCTGGAGAAGAAGCATGGGATCCACTGCAACATGACTCTCATCTTCAACTTCCACCAGGTACGAGTCACAGGAAGCATATGGTTACCATGGTTGCTGGGATAAACTGATGACAAAGTATCTGGAAATATTTCAGAATAATTTCATTGTTATGTTCACTGGAATTGTGCAGTGACATCGTAATGGTTACCAAGTGAAATTTTAGTAGATGGAGTTTTCATGTATAACATTGGGCTATTATTTTCGTAGTTGGCAAGAAGGTCTAGGCAAAACTATTCTTTCAAGTGTGTCATGTTTGTTCCTTACAATGTTCACCAGACTGTCTGGACACAACAAAATACTTGCTTCCCATAACCTGTTGTCACTTGGTCACTTGGAATATCTGGTGTTCCCTGTCGTGATATTGCTGGAATAGTGCTAGAAGCAGCGTAAAAAACTCAAATCAAATCAATGTAAGTTCTTTTAAATGTTGTTAATTGAGACATATTCTTGATGCTTTGTTTGGCAGGCTGTAGCTTGTGGACAGGCTGAAGTCACCCTCATATCACCATTTGTAGGCAGGATATTTGACTGGTATGTCAAGAACGGTGATAAGAAGACCTTCTCCATGCTGGAAGATCCTGGTGAGTGGCATACCATTTTCATTTTCATCAGGCAGGGAATTCTGGGTACCATGTCAATCCTGCATGTGGTAAGAGTAGGTCATATCTGGAATAGTTGTCTCTGATAACCCAATCGAAACATCTTGTAACTTGCGACTTACAAGATTTCTGTTACATGTATAAGCAGTCATGCGAAAATGTCACCAAATAGTGAAACCAATGTTCACATCTGCAGACAAAGTTGTTGGTGATTCTTGTACTTTATTCTGTCTGATGATAGGTTACTTGTCCTGAAATTACAGAAGAATCTTCAGGTAAAAAACAAGTCATGCTCTCTGGAGGCTGACATGTTTGTCAATACCAAAAATGTGGAATACATACAAAAATGGAAATGAGAAGCGGAATGCGACACACGGAAGGAAAAGGGATTAGAAAGGAAATAAAATAGCGCTTTTAAAATAGGGGATTATTCAGTACACCTAGTATGTAACAGTTGGGAATAAAAATTCAACACTCACTTTTTACATTATCAACTGGCTGTTCTATTTGCTTCTTCTTCCTTTACTACCCCAAACAACTTTGGTTGCCTACAACAGAAAAACACCCGCTGTCAACCACTTAACTGACATGTATGCAGCTAGACCACAATGGTGGTCTGCCTGTGTGACTTGACTGAACCATAATCACGGGTCGTGTCTGCCATATGTTCGTCTGGTCAGTTAGGATGTGGCTAGACAGTTGCTTAGCAGGTTGTTAAACAGCACTCGCTCACTCACTCACTGCTTATCTCCTTTCAGGTGTCAAGAGTGTCACGAGAATCTACAACTACTACAAGAAGTCTGGCTTCAAGACCGTTGTCATGGGAGCTTCCTTCAGAAACGTTGACCAGATTCTTGGCCTCGCTGGCTGTGATCTACTCACCATCTCGTAAGGCCATTGTTTCACAGCTTGGTATTATCAGTTGTGTGATATTTATCGACAAAACCTGAGCAGATGTTTCTACATGTTCAATGCAGTCGTAGTCTGGAACATGGTGGAAACCATTGGTCAGAGCATTGAGAGTCATCTCCCTTATTGTTAATTCATATATGGTGTAATTTTTTAATGCAATGCTAATAATTTGGTAAATATTTGATGTTGCAATACTCTGTAAGCAACATCTGTATAGTATTGTTGTGTGTAGAATATGTCTGTGGAATGGAGTATGTCTTTGTATGTGGCCCCGCCGTGATGTTGCTGGAATATTGCTAAAAGCGGCGTAAAACCAAACTCAGTCAGTCAGTCATATGTGGCACTAAGTTAGTGTCTATTTGTGTGCCGTGTATTATTAACAGAAGACGAATTGAAATGCTTTGGTTCTATGTATTAGGCCACCATATGTTTTCAAGTAATATAATTGTCCCCTTGTATTATCGGGTTCATGGTAATAGGATGGATCTTGTTAACCATTAAACAAACAAATTGTTTTCTCTGAATGGATTGTTGAGATATGTATGGTTTTCCAGGCCTTCACTTCTGGAAAAGTTGTCCAATTCCACTGACCCAGTCCAGGTGTACCTTGACAAAAAATCAGGTGGGTGAGAAAGAATCGTCTGTATTTGAAGTAAATGTCATAGAAGATCATTGTTAAAACTGCAAGCAATTTTTAAAGTTTAATAATTATTTTAGATTTAAGGTTTTAAGTATAGAATATTTATGCATTTTCTTTCCAACTCGTGGGTATTCCAAGTGAGACTATAGGTCTCCAGCAACTTGTGGTTGTATGAGGTGACCCATTTGGTTGATGCATATCGTCTTATCCCAATAGCTTAAATCGATGCCCAGAATGTCAATCACTGGATTGTCAAGTCCAGACTGTAAATATGCACAGGCCACTATCATACAGAGTGAATGTTGCAAACAAAGCATTGCCACCAACAGTAGTGGAAGGAAACATGTCTTTCTGTGACACACAACCCTGACATATAGTGTGACCTCTTGCTCCAGCAATATGGCTGTTGCTCATACTGTCGACCTCTGGTTTGCATGACCCAGACATGCCATTGCGACATAGCTGGATTTTTGTTTCTTGTTTAAAGCCACACAGCAGTCTGTAAATAATCGAGTCACAACGAGACAATCCAGTGATTTGACATGAGCATCGATGTACACAACTGGTGTACAATTGCAGTGTTCTGTAATTAATTGAGTCTAGACGAGACAAACCAGCAATGATCTATGCAACTGAGATATGATTACATGCATCAACAAAGTTAGAAAATCTGACCACCCTATTCCGTTAGTTGCTCTTATGACAAGCATGGGTTATTGAAGATAGGGATTGTCTGGTCCAGACTCGATTATATACAGACTGCCGCCATATAGCTGGAATATTGCTGAGTGCGGTGTAAAACTAAACTCACTCACTCACTGAAGATCAGGAGCGGTGGGGTAACCTAGTAGTTAAAGCGTTGGCTAGTCACGCCAAAGACCCGGGTTTGATTCCCCGCACAATATGTGGGCACAATATGTGAAGCTCATTTCTGGTGTCACCCACCATGATGTTGCTGGATATTGCTAAAAGCGGCGTAAAACAATACTCACTCACTCACTAAAGCTCCATTCTTACCCAGATCATGACGGGAGGAGATTGAAGGGTGTGACTTATAACAACATTCCTAGACTTATCCAACACTCATGTGCCTGTGATTTTTCTTTTTCCAGCACAAAAACTTGACATTGATGAAATAAATGTTGATGAGAAGATGTTCCGTTGGGAGATGAACGAAGACCAGATGTCAAATGACAAACTCTCCGAGGGAATTCGCCGATTCACAGTGGATGCAGTCAAACTGGAAAATGAATTGAAAGACAGATTACTTTAAAACTCACGCATAGCTTCCTCATCAGACTCGCATGGAGTAGGGGAAATTAATATTCAAATAACATTGTCTTATAACATTATGGCCACCAGGGTTTAATGGCTTCAATATATAGCATTAAACATGTTACTTGTACAAAATGGAATGAATTTTGTCATTCCACCCTATAAACTCATGTCTATAAGAGGCCATTTGAGGTGCTTTATGTGAAGTATGTTTGTTTTAACAGGCAGGACTTTTAAATGCTTGGTTTACAGGTACACGATAAGCAATGCAGAGAATGTCAAATATGAAAAGCTTTGTAATTTTATTTTATTCAGTTGGGTTCAATCTTATTTGTTGTCAAAACCAAGTTGTGCATAAAACTGGTTACACTGCTGGACCAGTGACACACACACACAAATACTTACTTTCCACAAACCGGAAGTTGTTTGTAAATCTGTAAATTACAAAATGGAAAAAAATCTGGCCAAAGTTGTATGACGTAGTGGTCTATCCAGTGAAGAAATCCTACAATATTGATGCTTGCAGATGCAGCTGCTAGTTTAGATGTAGACTGTATTTATGACAGAATTTTTATGTTTTTTCTCGTGTGATTGTTGTAAAGTTTCTTTGTTCATGAATTTAAAAAATCAACTCAAGCATTTCAAAAAATGATCTATTTTATTTTTAGTTTATCAATGTTATTTGTTTTTTATAACCATACTTTAAAATATTTGTTGCCTTGTTTTCCATGGAGCTTTCCTGTATTGTCTCATAATCCCTAGCTTTGATGTTATAGCCAATCACTGTGTTGCTAACTGACACATGCTTCAGGATTGCTGTATGTTATTGCACATTCTCAATAAACGCAAAATCTGTTTTAACTAAGAATACAAAGTTTGACATGTTTATTTTGTTTAGTCTTCCTGATTCTTATCTCTTACTTACAAAATGTATGTATTTGCACGTAATCACAATCTCCTTAGTTTTGGCATTTATTTTTATATCATTTTGACAGAAAAACGTTCAGTACGAAAACATGTCTGTGTAGCGTGAGGATGTCTTTTGCAAGAAGTGTATGTCGGAACGATTGATGTAGTGTGATGTACATTTGTGTTTTGTATATTATCGAGTTATGTATTTATACAATTCATAATGTGACACTGCCGCAGTCCCAACATTTTGTAACAACTGACATGGGTGTGTCTGAGGACATTTCAAAGTTGTTTGGAGGAATCTTTCTTGGGCAATACTTCCAATGAGTTTGTCAATTTGGAGTATTAAAAAACGTCAATATTCTCTGGCGTTTGTCTTTGTCTGTTGAAAGGGTTGGCTTGCACCACTTGATATTGTTCAACAATAAACATGTTCCTAATTTGCGTGGTGGGGGTGGCCTAGTGTTTGTTGTCTGGTCACACTGAAGACTCAAGTTTGGGTCCCCACATGGGTACAATGTGTGACGCCCATTTCTGGTGTCCCCTGCCGTGATATTGCTGTAACATTGCTAGAAGCAGAGTAACACCACACTCGCTCACCTTACATGACAATATATCAAGGTGTGGTCTAATATCGTTGACAGCAGCTCATACGGATATATGGCAAATCTTCATTACTGTACCATTGGTCTTAATGATGGGCTGTGGAGGCTCCACAATTTGCTGTCACTTGTGTAGAGTCGGTCACTCTATCCCAAGAACCTTTGATCCGAGATGAAGCCAACCCAGGTTCATCCAGATGATATTTCTTTTGAGCTACATACCCATGCTCGCTGGCTTTTACGAAGAGGCAAATTTAAGATTGGATTTGGTCCAGACAAAGTAAGATAGCAACCTGGCATATAACTGAAATAGAGCCGCTCTTCAAATATAGGGTTTGACATACTGATTCAGGGCAAATCTGTGTCTAAATTCCCTGTCTTAATAGAAACACGAAGAATGTGCTATAGATATAGAACTGTTTTATTATAATGTAAGCGTTTTGGTGTAGGTGAATAGTTCAATATAAAGAGGTATATCCATCACACCAACTTCCAAATGCCACTCTAAGATCATAAATACATGTGTGTCTATATCAAGTATTACAATAGTATTAGTCCCCATTGTTTCTTTGTTCATTTGGGGGCGGTGGGGTAGCCTAATGGTTGAAGCGTCGGCTCGTCACGCTGACGACACGGGTTCGGATCCCCACATGGGCACTGTGTGAAGCCCATTTATGGTGTCCCCCGCCGTGATATTGCTGGAATATTGCTAAAAGCGGCGTAAAACCCAACTCACTCACTCTTTGTTCATTGTGTACAGAAAGACGTACAAGTTACACAAGATATGCTTCTGCCCTTGGTAACAGAAAGCCCATGACCTGAAAATATTTCAAAACTTTTCAGTAGTTTTTTACAGCAAATACACACAATCTTGTCACTCACACATTTACTCTAGTAATACAAATAAACAGTACGTACAAATAAACAATAAACTGTGTTTGTACATGGCTTCAAAGTACCGTGATATCAAACACATCCAAGCTCGTTGAGTCAATGTTTGAAAGGGATATTTCAATTATTCCGGCATGCACCAAACCAGTTCTCATGTGTCAAGAGTGTAGGATTATCCCTATCAAGAGTTGAGCGGTATATACCTTCCACATGACACCTTGGCCCAAAACTTCCCGCTACCACGACCAGGCAATTATCCAGACTGGTCCAGCCAAACCAGTGAACGGAAGGCAGAAAATGGCCCAAAACTAGAATGGACGTAAATAGACGAGGGGACATAGAAACATGCCAGCGAAGTATCTGCATTACAACTAAAACATACACTAAAACATCATGACAAATGTCAACACAAAGTAGATGATTCACCAACAGAGTATTTACCCGACACCAGAAGTGACATTAGCGCCCCAGGGTACAAAACAACCTTATCGCTAAGTCCATGTTAAAGAACCACTAAACTTTGTTTTTTGTTACTCTTTTAACCATTACATATGAAAGATTTGTGGTTAGTCTTATGCGGAACACCAAATTTATTCTTTAAAAACTTGTGGTTATTTAATACCGAGCGATTAAAAGTTGCCAAAAAGTCGCCTGCTTCCCTCTCGCCCGCCAACGAAACCACAGACAGGTTACGTAACTCTGTCGCCAGAGCACTGGAGTGACGTCATATGAGGAACGATTTTCAGTTAGTTGTATAGAAAATGTGTAGCACGCTCATCATTTTGATGATTTCTCGACATCAACGACGACATGCCGAATCGTTGCTTTGTCGTCAATTGCTCCTAGGGGTCGGGCGATGGTGTCCCCATGCACAGATTTCCACAGGACCCCGCAGTTCGTGCTAAATGGGTTATGTTTGTGAGTGCGAAGCGAGCGTTGTGGAAGCCTGAAACGATATCTTACTTGTGTTCAGATCGCTTCACGGAAGTTAAAGAATCAAAACTACTTACTAGTTGTAGTAAAATATGCATATGATTGATGACCATAAAGATTTTCTATGACACAACTTGTAACATAACGATTTCTTCCTCGGAAGTGAGGTTGTGGTCGAAGTAACAATAATATTGTAAGTAGTATTATATTGACACCCACCTCGCTGCCACGAGAGAAATTGTTATGTTATACGCTTTGTCATGCAAAATCCTATTGGCCATCAATAAAATACATATTTTACTACCAGTAGAAAGTAGTTTTGATTTTGTATCCGGTGGAAACAAACCCAAATACCATTTATCCTCAGACTGGCGGATGTTCCCGACAGGGCGCCGCCATTTTTAAAAATAAAAAAATCTGTTAGAATTAAGGAGATTATGGTTTGTTTTCATCAAGTTAGATAATCAAGACTACTTTCTACTCGTAGTTAAATATGTATTGGAATCATAACCAAACGGATTTTGCATGACACAACTTATAACATAACGATTTCTTCCACGGAAGCGAGGTGGGGTCGAAGTCACAATACTGCGCGATAAATTTCTTGCTACATTCCCATGGTTAATGTCCACTCACCAGTATGTAGATACTAGTCAATGTGCGTCTTTATATTTGGTGTTATAATCCTAATTAGTTTATTATCATACTTGTATGCATTTTGAAACTAAATAAAAGCAGACGATCTGCTGATACTTATAGTGAATTTATAACAGAACTGTAATATCTAGACATTTTATAGTTTGCCAATGTGAATCATAATTCGCACACACACCCTAGTGCATGTTGTCTGTCTCATTACACTTCACGGCGAAAACAATGATTCTGTTGAATGCTACGACAAATGAATAAAACAAAATGCAAATATTAAAATTAAAACAGATTAAAGTTATAGGAACAATATCAGGCCATTACCTTGTTCGAGGAATGTATCCATCAATATCCACAAAACTGTTCCAAATGATGTGTCTTTTAACAGTTTAATATACGAAAAAGTGATAAATCTTTTCAGGTATTGGTGTATAGTCTCATTGGTCACCCAAGATAGCACACCTGGCAACTAATTGCATAATGTCCGCCTTTCTTTAAAAACAGTAATTTAGTTAGCCAATAATGGGCAATCAATCAATGTATTGCCGGTTAATCCTTTGAAAGAAGGACGTTGTTTTTACGCAGACACCGACACGACAGAGTGTATTCAGTATAGATTAGTAAATCTACATACATAAACACTACCTTTTGACAATTCCGCTGTGTAAGATAAAAGTAATTAATCAATCAGCGTGTTATCGGTTAATCCTTTGATCGATGTTTATAATGTTGAATATTTACTCCAGACACAAGAAATGCCAAATGGGAACCTTTGTCGGGTAATTTAAGTGTGTTACCACTAATTATACCTGTTATAAATTCATTAACTGACCATCAAGTGAATGATGACAAATAACATGTGTAGGTTTATACCACCTAACACGGGTTACAACAAGGGAGTATTAATTGCTGTATTGCATGTGAAAACTTATGGGCCGACACTGTTTTGAGAATACAAACAGATTTTTACATGACATGATTAAATATCGAGGTAAAAAAACACAGAAATGGGATCAATTTGGATCAGTCATTATACAAATAGGGCCTAACGACACCAATCGATTTTGACAGAATCGTCTAGGAAAACAAGTTGTAACTCGGAAACTAGGCAAAGCATGAGACAAAATTAAATGACAGTAGATTGTGAGAACATATAGCTTTCATTTTCCACAACAATTGTCACGATTTCAGGTTTATACAAGCCTGTAAACAAGATAATTTAACCCCTAAAATGTAGATGAATTCTGCACAGGCCCTCCAAGCTATTCCTCATATGACGTCACATAGTCGCGCCGCTCTGATTGGTTGAAATTTCGTTCGCGGGTGAGAATTGTGCACTGTTGTCAAAAAGGTCGATTTAAGTCAATTAAAGGTCGAAATGAGTAGTTTTAATGACGGGGTTTCATTTATAACGATGCGAGTTAGTGATTTATGTATTTTTAACCCCTAGGGTTTATGTGACCTTTAAGGTATGGGAGTTACATTATCGCTAAGATCGCTTAGTACAACGGCACCCAGATTAGTTTCTAGTTTAACGCCGAACTCCTCAATATTCCATATATATGACTCGATGAATACCTTCACTGTTTGAACCGCCTCCGTGGTGTAGTGGTTAGAGCGTCCGCCCGGAGAGCGGAAGGTCGCGGGTTCGATCTCCGACCGCGTCATACCAAAAGACGTTAAAATATGGTACTTGTTGGTCTCTGTCTGGCGCTCGGCCTTAATGGGTACAACAAGGACTGGTCGCCTCGGAGTCAGTATAATGTGTCTGAGTGGGGTATTCCTGCTTCACTGCGGCATGGTATCTCAGTGGGCTAGCACTATAACCCCAGCTTAAGTCTGGGCTAGTACAAGCAGCCGCACATACACATACTCACGCATGCACGTCGTCATATGAGCGAAATATTCTCAAGCACGACGTTAAACCCAATTTCACTTCAAATTCACTGTTTGACGATGATCGTCATATCATCTTGCAAATCTTGCACGCTATGAACATAACTGAGTCTACCTGGTAATATTTAACTCTCTACATTTGTAATATCATAAAAAGTACATACTAAGTATTGTTGTTGTCGAAAATTCCATATACTACCGGCTCTTGCATTTCATAGTTCGTGTAGCATATGAAACCTTATCTAGAAGTGTTGAAACCCACACATTGGCAATCGAGGGTCTCATTAATTTACAATAACCTGACAGAACAGCACGATGCAGTTATTATGACTTAGATGCGAGTAACCAGTGAAGATCCGGACTGGAATTGGTCTTCAGCAACCCCTGCTTGACGTAGAAGGCGACTACCGGGATCTCTGCTAAAAGCAGACGACAGTACAATTTCAACTATATCATAAGAATGTGTTTATGAATCACTATCAAATAGTGATGATACCAGGTGTTCGCGAAAATGCGTATCCTTCCCCACCCGTCATAAACATATGCAAAGGCTTGTCAATTGTTCGCATAGAGAAGATGCGCAGATCTAAATATGAAACACACGAACCGGCCTAACCTGTCTCCTCTGTTTCAAGTTCCGGTGGGTAAATCAGTAGAAGGGAACTGGCTATTTCATGGCTATTGAACGATAACAGATCGTCGATATACCCAGAGACCATACAATATATAACTAGTATACATAATGATGGTCTCTGATATACCTGAAGTTTAAGTTAAACTTCGATTCTTGGCCACATTACTTTGTTTAGATTCACATACAATATGAAACAGATCCCCGGAGATTAACCCTACGTAGATGTTATCAATGAAGTCCAGCTTTTCACATATTGCTCTTTCAGTAAGGTTCAGATGACATTGCTTTCTTTTTGTGTCGATTTGGACCGAATTAACGGAATTTAAATAATTATTTGGAAAATTTTCATTAAAGAAATTTCGTTGCAATAAATATGATTTTTATTTTAGCAAATAATATGTTCATGTCCTTGTTGTCTTGGTGATTTGCAAACGGTTCATAATGTAATAATTAGTGTGGTTCGGGCATTGTAGCCTGTCACACAGACATTATCCAAAAAAGCCCATGCAAGTCTACATTATTTGGCAAGTGTAGATTTTCACAGTTTCTGAAAATGAAGAAAGTATCAGGGCTCATTTTCGTTATATTTCATTTTTTTTTATTATGAACTGTTTTTTCTGTAAAATATGTTCATTTCAGAGACTAGTTGTTAGTCTACTGGCATTGCTGTAACATGTAGAGTTATGTTTTCAAGACGTGACATTTTGCACGTAGATCGGCAAACAAAAACTTTTGGCGGCAGTAGGGGAGGCAACTCTGGTGATACAGAGGGCGCTTCATAAACACAAAGCGAAGCACCGTTTACCAAAACATCTCGGATTAGGCCCAATTGATGTTATTAAGGTATTATTTACTGCTTGCAAGTTGTACTTAAGTCGATATGTCGGCTTCCACAACTGGAAAAGCTCTGCTAGCAGGGTTGAAAGAACGCAAAGACAGCGAATCAAATGGTGATGATCGGAAACGACAAGGATCGCCGGTTGTAGTAGAAGACAATGAAGCTGCTGACAGAAGAACCAGTAGAAGAAAACGACCAAAGGTAGTTGCCGCCGGTACAGACGGAGCACCTCACCCACAACAAAGCGCATCATCGACTGTGAATATTATTTTAAATTATAAGTGTCCATGTCCGTGTTTGTGGCATGAATTCGGAATGCAGAGCTTCGGTGGTTTGCATGCTAGTTCTCGCCTTGACACATGTTGTTCTGTTTTCGATCACTCATCACGTTACAGTTTGTCTTATTCACAGCGTTATAGTTGCACATGTATGTGGTTTTGGTTCTGTACTGCACATATATTATTTTTTTTATACCAAATTTGGAATGGGTTTTGTAATTTGTTATATCTAAGTGAAGTACCTATATTTTGTGGTTCATTTTACATTATGCATATCATGTTTTATGAACAAAATTATTGAAAATAGTTAACAAGAATATATCAAGCACCCCAAATTCTCTAAAGGACAATCTCTTTTTCGATCCTTTGATGCTGTAGTAAGGTATTGCTAATTGATGTGTTCTAGTATATCATCAGCATATATCTCACTCAAAATTTACCCAGATTTTGTGTCTAATAGGGCAGTTACAAGTCACTCACATATTCGGTTAATTGAACCATATTCCTTTATGAATACAATTCATTGTTCACCTACATTAGAATAGAAAACTCATGAAGGAATGGTTTAAGCTCTATCTGGGTGTTATCATAGCAAGATAAGCAAAATGTAATATCCAAGCCAGTCAGTATAATATTCAACCCTCTTTTATATTCAGTTTGATTGCGATCAATAGTCATTGTCATGATAAATCAATGATCGAAACGTGATTGAAACATGTCAAAACATTATTTTGATTTTATTCCACTGAATTTAATGAATTATACATAAACTGCTGACTTATTATTATATTTGTTACCCAGTATTTGTGTTAGTGACGTGTATAATATTTTCCTCATCATGGTTTTGTTGCAGCATTAGTGTCTCATCCAAATTTAAGCATAATGATCTGTCAACACTGTTGTCATGGTAATTGTTGCAAGAAATTAATTAAGACAGTCAGTGATTTATCAGAGTGTTTGTTTTGACTGTATGATTGTGTGCTGTTATTTCATTGAGTATGAAATTTCCAGAATCACTAATCATGGAATATCTTATTATTTCACTGCTGTATACATGCTCATATGTTCAGACATAAAGTTACAGTGGAAGATTTATGACCCCCTTGTCACAACTTAACTGATATTAAATATAGCTCTAGCAGAAAACACAGATTTTGAGTACATACAATGCCTCATGCTCTGTGCTGCTGCTGCTAATCACTATGCATGGTCATGGTAATTTTATCATTTGCAACATGTACTATGCAAGTCATCAGTCAGGGGCCCCACAATTCTGGGTTAGCATAGGTCCCCAGCAACCTGTTTAGGTTGTAAGAGGCATCAAACTTAGTGTATGGATCAGTTGTGCGCCTTAAAATGGCATAGATTATGTCTCATCACATTTCTTTTCTGGGCTCAGTTATCTACAGGGTTCCGTCATGTCTGAAATAAATAGTAATGTTTTGCACATACTGCTTTCATGCAGTCGTCATTAGAGTCATAAACATTAAGTACTATGGATCCAATATGTATACCCTAATTGAATGGAGATATGTGTTGCATAATTGTGGATGTTCTAAATGATGCAATATTGTGCATGCACATATTGCTTAAAATATCTGGTGCCTGTAGACAACTTAGGTGTTTCATGTTTATCAAGTTAAATTACTTTGATAACATTCATTTGCAGTATATCTTTAAAAGCCATATATAATGTGTGGCATAAGATACCGATAATACCAAGATAGTGGTGAAAGCTGTGGTGCATTTTGAGAGAGAAATAGGATTGTGTTTTTGAAACTCCAGATTAGGGTCATTTGGGAAATACTAAACCATGAGCATGATGAACATAACAACAACCCTTAAATATGTTAAACATGCCAAAAGTAAGAAATTTTAAGTTATCACTATCATTGTTTATGCCATGTGCATACTTAACATGCTAAACTCTTTTCAACAGGTCGTTTCATGTTGAATAATAACTTGTATTTTAACTGTCCTATGATATCTTACTAACATTGTCAAAGGCAAAAGTAACTATAATAATTGATCTTATTGACACATGAATAATAATGATTCTGGTCATATTAACCATATATGGCTTTACTTTATGGGCAAACCTTGTTGTGTTTGGTAAACCGGTAATGAAGACAGACAAATAGCAGAACTTGTGTAAAAAACACTACAACTGCAGCATAGAATATAATGTTTAGTTTAGCATGTTCATCTGTTTTGTATGTATATCTTCAACTTCAGAAACCTTTCAGTAGTGAATTGTATTCGCATCATTGCATATACAAGATGAAGTTATTATGATGACAGTCACTGTTCCTTTTAATTTTCAACATGCTGAAAAGTGTCAAAGGTCAGGGTTACATTTAAATTTGCTGTGAAACATTGGTTGGATACATTAACCTCCAGTTACCATGGTTACTTGGACAAACCTGAGACTTTGAAAACTGTTGGGCATAGTATGTCAATTTCTATTGGCTTGTCAAAGGCAAAACACACATTGCTTGGCTGTCAAGGCAAATTGATATTAATTAAGGAAAAAATATGGGGCAGAAGGAATCATTCTGTTGATTATTACTTTCTATTTCTTCAAACAAACTTGTCATTCCATCATTATGTAAACCATTAGCTGTTCCTTAGGACTTCATATATGGTGTATTTAGCAGTGGAGGTGGGTGAGTGAAGTAAATCACTTTTCCTTATGGGTAACCTCTAAACCAAAACAGCATATGTGCACATACAACATGGTCAAGTGATGAGGCACCTTGTGGCTATTTAATATACTAGCCACATAAAGAAACTGTGCACACAGAAAATTCCTTCAGAATTGGAATACAACACAGAAAAGACAGGGCCTCAACAACATGTCAAAAGAACATGAACAATATCCGTAACGATGACGTCAGAAGTTCAAAATTGAGTCGGGGGTCACACGGTGAGGTCACAAAGTCAATAACGGGTATGACCATCATGCGCGTGAAGCACAGCAGTGCATCGACGACGCATAGAGGCTACCAAATTTTCCAAATGAAGGCCTGGGGAATGGTTTGGGACATGGTCACTGCCATCTGGAACCTGTGTCTGATATGAGTCACCCGAATCCATCTGTCCTGTCTTGGTGTCATTACTCGGTGACGCCCAGAACGTGGGTGGTCGGCGACGTCATTACTGTTTCCCTAACGCCTGACCAATGCAGATATCGTGTTACGATGGCATTGGGCATGTGCTGCCACCTGTTGTTGGCTCATGCCTGCTCGAACCATTCCAATGGCTTCATGACGTTGAGCACATGTTAATCTTGGCATGATGTGCATGTGACTTTTCATGTGAATTTGTGAACGTTTGAATGACCAAAGATCAAGCTTTCGAAAGTGACATCAATTTCTGAGTTTCACGTGTTGTGTGCAGCTGCACAGGCTGCACGTGCAGTAACACATTGCAAGTCCATAGGCCACCATCAATGATGTCACATCGCCTGGAACCTGCATGAGCGTTTGATTGTCTCCAATACTTGCTATGTTCACACCTTTATTTATGCATAAAGACGCTGTCTGCCTATCTTTATATTTTCTGTGTGCACAGTTTCTTTATGTGGCCAGTATATATTTGACAACCAAAATGATAGCGTTTTTCAGTGTGGTTGAAAATAAGTTTGTTTAAAAGTAATTTTTCTTCCAGTTAATCATGTTGAGCCAGATTGCAATAATCAATACTTTGAATGCTACTCTGACGTTTACCAATAATGTAAGTTAAAGTAACAGTATGTAACCATGATGACGGTATTACCTGTCATTCAAGGAAACACCAACATGATGACCATGCCGGACATTTTGATAACTATTTTATGAAGCCTGCTTGTCATGATTTGATTCTGCACACAGAAGAACTGTGAAATGGAGTGGCCTTTAAAAGTCTTTTGACAGTGATCATGGTGATACAAACTAACCCTTGAAGCGTGTTTGAGTCATGTTTTACTAATAGATTTTGGAACTTTGGTTCTAACGATTAGGGATGATTTTATTTTGGTTTTGTTTATAATACCTTAGAGGTGGAGTGTTGGTGTCTATGTTCTAAGCCAGGCTTCAGCATGTTTAGAGGCCTTGGAGGTGGAGTTTTGGTGTCGTAAGTCCGTCTAGAGAATGTCCTAGACATTGATTGCTGGTGTTTGTTCTGAGCAACATTTTATTACTATAGATTGAATACAAGGAAATGGAGGATGCACAAGGTCAAGGGTCAGAGGAAGATGAAGGTTCAGAGGAGGAGAAGAAGGAAGTGAAGGAGAAGGAAAGAGTGGAGGAGAAGAAACTGATCCCAAAGGAAGAACCCGAACCAATTGTGGATGACAGTGACCATGCTGATGACCCCACAGGTTAGTGTCGAACTGTGACAACACGTACAAATCCATGGGATGATGATGTTGATGGAGAACTGCAGCCTGTACTACAGCACATGTCAGTTTAGGGAGTCGAGATACACAATGTATTTCTAATTTATACCTGGCAACATTATCATAATGATAATACTTGCTTCTAGTACTTATGTACAGTTCATGTTATAGTTGTTTTTGTTTTCACAATATACTGTTACTGACAGTTGTATTATACTGTTAGAATGAGTCTAATATTGACATGGGGGCGGTGAGGTAGCCAAGTGGTTAGAGCGTTCACTTGTCACACCGAAGATCTGGGTTCGATTCCCCACTTGGGTACAATGTGTGAAGCCCATTTCTGGTGTCCCGCACCGTGATATCTCTGGAATATTGCTGAAGGGGCGTAAAACTAAACTCACTCACTCACTAATAATGACATGAGTTGCAAATTAAACACAAACTAGTTTGGTAATCTGGTAACAATAACAAACTCATTTAAAAATCAAGCAAACCAGATTAATTACTGTGCCTCAAGAATCATGATTTACATCAATACAGTTTGAGTGTATGTAGAAAGAAAATTTCATTATTCTGGTAAATGTGTAAGTTTCCAGTCTTAGTTGTTGTTGTTTCACGTGTCATAGTAACACCTATTTGTCTTTAGCTGTAATGATTTGTAAAATAATAATTTTTCACAAAAGCATAAAGGATATATGTTTGTACCAGGCAATGTTTACAAGATGTTCACAATTCCTGATGTTTTCTCTGTACAGGTTTAGGGCGGTGGGGTAGCCTAGTGGTTAAAACCGTTTGCTCATCATGCCAGAGACTCGGGTTCGATTCCCCACATGGGTACAGTGTGTGAAGCCCATTTCTGGTGTCCCCGCCGTGATATTGCTGGAATATTGCTAAAAGCAGCGTAAAACTAAACTCGCTCACTCTGTGCAGGTTTAGAGGGTGCAGCATTCCAGAGTCGTCTCCCCTTTGACAAGATGACCTCCCAGGAGGCCGCTTGTTTCCCAGACATTCTACAGGGACCTCCTCAGGCTCAGAAGGTGTTCCTCTACATCAGAAACAGGCTGGTGAGTTGGACTGACTAGTGAAGGAACTCTCGAAAGATGTACTATTTTTGTAGTCTTATTGCTGTCCTAAATTACCATCGCACGCCAAATGATGCAATGATACATTATAAAACAACACAATAAAAATGCCTCAAGTTCTTCAGCTAATATGGTTGGTAAATGATATTTCAAAACCAGGTTTGAATTCTTGAGATGAAGTGAAGTGACTTTATATTGTTTTGAAAGTTTTATTTTCTGTCTCCTATAAGTCCTTTGAGATTACAAACATCAAGTAATAGTTTGATTTTCTTTTGATAGTATTGACAGTGCATATTGTCAATGGCCATGGTAAATTATCATTCATTGATGGTTCATGTCCGTTGTTACAATCATGAGTGACATGCTGTCAAACTAACATCAAATATGTTACTCTTTAGCATTTTGCATGGACAATTTAGGTTGAAACCTCCTTGGGAAACAAACAGTATGTGTCTCAACACCCCACCCCCCAACCACCCACCCAGTCATGTTGTCACTTGCTCAATATTGACTACATTCCTGCCTCTTGCACTCACAGCTTCAACTCTGGCTTGACAACCCCAAACAGCAGCTGACATTCGAAGGAGCCCTGCCACAGATTGAAGCCCCATACAACAGTGAGTGATCTGGATCCACATCCTGAATATTTGATGCACTGATCATGTTGTCATTGTTTCCCATGTTGTCACGGTCCATTTGTTTACCGACAAAAATATTGTAGCATTAATTGACAATCGCCAGTGAAGACATAGCTTGACATATCTGTCATAAGTGTCACAGTTGTCCCTGATTTTTCGCGGGGCACTGGGATACCAATCACTCTGCGGAGTTTCATCCCTTGGTCCTCTAGGATCCTCTATCAGGTCCCATTATCAGCAATACATTCATCATGTTCATGCTTGTGGCTTTCCTAGGTGACGGTCCTCTAGTGATGAGAGTACACTCCTTCCTTGAGAGATATGGACTTATCAACTTTGGCGTATTCAAAAGACTGAAGCCATTACCAGGTGAGAAGGAACTCAGTGGTAGAGTACCCAAGTATCAACAGTGTTTGCTTACCATGTCCAGATTTGGGTTACTGTAGGTGCCTGACAACGTATGGTTGGGGATATGTGGTCAGACTCATTGACTTGACTGATGCCAGTCATCGTATCCCAATTTGTGTGGACCAGTTTTCATAATGTCAGTCACTGGATTGTCTGGTCCAGACTCAATCTTTTTATTGACCACCATCTTGCTGAGTGTGTCATTTCTCAGTGAACACTATTGGGGTGAATATTCCGACATTTTTTATTACATTTGTTCTCTTCTTTACATTCAAAACTGTGAGCATGCCCTCGATATATATACATAATGTATCTAAGGAGCCTTATGGATGAAGGATTTGCTGCCAAAGACATTTTATATTGTAAATTATGATATTAAGATCAGGGAGGGGAACCGCTGTCCTAAGTTTCCAGTTTGGCATGTTTGAGAAGCACACAAAAGGCAGTGAAGTACTATTGCTACCACTGTCTCTGGCAGTCTTGAGATATAATACCGTGGATGACTTTGGATGAGGCACAGCCTGTATTTGACATGAACAGCATCCTGCTCCTACTGGTATTCCTGATGAATGTTATGATGTATTGAGTAAGAATCCTGATGAAATAATATTTCAGCCAAGAAGCATGGTCGAGTGGTGGTGATCGGGGCCGGCATAGCAGGGCTGGGAGCAGCCAGACAACTCCTGTCTTTTGGGATGGATGTTGTCATTATTGAAGCAAGGGTAAGTGTATGTCTAATATAAACATTGTAAACAGTCTCTGTAGTATGATGCTGGGTAGTGATTCCACAGGCACCACATACATACACACAATATGTTCTTTGTTGCTAACTTGTAGAACATGTCGATCATGAAAGTGTCTGCTCTGACTTCACAGGATCGAGTTGGAGGGAGAGTAGCAACATTCAGGAAGAACAACTATGTTGCCGACCTTGGAGCTATGGTGGTCACAGGGCTTGGTGAGTAATATGGTTCCAACAGTGTGTAAAATACTTAAGTCCAAACACAAAACATGTCATAGTTAAAATCAGCTTTAACCCTAGCATATTAATTCTAGTTTGCTTGAACGTGAATTTGAACATTATACTGTCTACTGTCTAGGGGGAAACCCAGTGACAGTGCTGAGTCGGCAGATTAACATGGAGCTGCACAAGATCAAACAGAAGTGTCCACTGTATGAGAGTAATGGCTGCACGGTTAGTATGGAAAGTATCTTGCTGATAGCTGCATGAACCTGGTTTCTCAAGCATGTCTTCACCATGGATACTGTCCACCCAAACATTAGGACTTTTCACATCATCAGTACTGAAGCAGTTAGTAACATTACCTGTTATTGCAGTGAGAGTCTTATTCTGAAGCACATTGCCCTATGTTAAACACACACACACACACACGCACACACACACATATATATATATATACATGTATATATATATACTACACAAGAGAAGTGCCTCCTTCCCTTTCCCTCTCCCTCTCCATCATTCTCTCCCCCTTCCTTTCCCTCTGAACCTATTAATGTTCTACAATGCTGAACATGTCAGGAACTTGAGATAATGACTTTGTTTATCCATGTTTTTTTCAGGTTCCCAAAGAGAAAGATGAGATGGTGGAGAGGGAATTCAACCGTTGTTGGAGGCGACGTCCTATCTCTCACATCAGATGGACTTCAATATGGTTGAGGGGAAGCCTGCCTCTCTTGGACAGGCACTGGAGGCTGTTATAAAGTAAGTTGTAGAAGCTCATTAATGAGGCTTGGTTTGGCTTGTTGTTTTACAGCCCTCTCTGTAAATAATTGAGTCTGGACCAGACAATCCAGTGATCAACAGCATGAGCATCAATCTATGCTCACTAAGGAGGATTGGGTGGATCAGTGTATGGACAGTATGCATTGCTGGTCAAACCAGTGGTTTGCTGAACCCAGGATATGACAGACTGGAGTTATAATACCCTTGACAACTGGGGATGAGGCACAACCTGTATTTGACATGAACAGCATCCTGCTCCAGCATAAACACCTACTGTATTCCTGGTGACTTGTGATGTATTGAGTAAATAACATATTTCAGCCAAGATGGTGTATGAACAGTATGCATCGTGTGTCATGCTATGAACCAGGGCCTAGATTTTCGAAGCTCTCTTAGCTCTAAGATCGTCGTAAGTGCCATGGAGCTAAGAAGCTTCAAAAATCTAGCAAGATGGATAAGAGCTAAGATATGAGTGACCATATGTTAACAGTCTCACTGTCAGTATGCAACTGAGGCTATTGTAAACCTGTTTTGTCTAGTTGAACACCAGCCCAGAGAGTTGAAGTTTGGCAGTTTGGAGGTTTGTTACCATTTCTCATGATCATACCAAAAGCCAGGCTGCTTGTTACCCAGGCAGACACTCAGCAATAAGAGGGTAAAACAAAGACCGGTCAACTCTGTGTGTGTGTCTGAGTGAGGTATACATGTTGAACTGTGGCCATGTTTGTTGCAGGCTGCAGGAGAAGCACGTGAAGGAGAAGCAGTGCGAGCACCAGAGACATATCATCGAGATGCAGGACAAGCTCAAGAAGAACCAGACCCAGGTACACTTATATACTGCATGTCCCTGTTAGTCAGTGTGTCCATAAATGCAACAACTTCAATTTGAGGAGCCTTTAGATAGGTGCTTGCTTGCTGCAAGTGGATCTGAGACATGCTAAGACTATTGATGTCTATGGGCAAGTTTTGCATTATTTTATGTTGCATTTGGCACTACTGAGGCTAAATCATAGTGTCTGATTAATAATATATATTCTTGTCCTGTTGAGGGTGACTGCATTATTGACTCCCAACACTGTCCATTTGAGGGACATAATATACTTGGTCATAATTTGTGGTCACAAAATCCTCAGATGGCCGACTGAAGTTAGGAAGGCAGTCATTGATGCTCACAGCTGTAATGGTAGTGACAATAATCCCAAACTGAGATGGTAGTCACTAAAACAGGTGTATGACATTGTTCCAGATGTTGACTCTAAGGGACAAGATTGAGGAACTCCACAAGCAGTGGAAAGAAGCATCAGAAGTGAAGCCACCGAGAGACATCACTGCTGAGTTCCTCATTAAGAGCAAACTCCGAGATCTCAACGCAGCCTGTAAGGTGAGCAAAGTCCGAGATTACATCATGACCCGCACAGGGAGTAATCTCCTGAGATCATAAGGCCAGTAAAGAGAGTAATCTCCTGAGATCACAGGAAGGTGAGTAAAGTCCGAGTAAACTCCAGAGATCACAATAAGGCCAGTAAAGAGAGTAAACTCCAGAGATCACAATAAGGCCAGTAAAGAGAGTAAACTCCTGAGATCACAGTAAGGCCATTAAAGAGTGTATAAATCCCCGAAATCACAGTTAGGCCAGTCAGTGAGGTCAGTAAAGGGAGTTAACTCCAGAGATCACTGTAAGACCATTAAAAAGTGTAAATCCCTGAAATCACAGTAAGGCCAGTAAAGGGAGTTAACTCAGAGATACCATTAAAGGGAGTTAACTCCAGAGATCACTGTAAGGACAGTAAAGGGAGTTAACTCCAGAGATTACAGTAAGGACAGTCAAAGGGAGTGAACTCCAGAGATCACAGTAAGTTAACTCCAGTAAAGGGAGTTAACTCCAGAGATTACAGTAAGGACAGAGGGAGTTAACTCCAGAGATCACAGTAAGGTCAGTAAAGGGAGTTAACTCCAGAGATCACAGTAAGGACAGTAAAGGGAGTTAACTCCAGAGATCACAGTAAGGACAGTAAAGGGAGTTAACTCTAGAGATCACAGTAAGGAATATAAAGAGTAAGCTACTGAGATGTAAAGGAAGTATGCTGTAAAGGTAGTAAGCTCCCAAGATCACAGTAAGGCCAGTAAAGGGAGTATGCTCATTCCTGGGGAAGATGACATGTATTGTCAGTCACTGTTTGTGCAATTTCTGAATTATTTTTATGATAACTTTTCTTCTTACCTTTGAACAGGAATTTGAACTATTTCAAGCACAGCAGAAAGAAATTGAAGAAAAATTGAATGAACTTGAGTCTAATCCACCAAGGTAAGTTAACTTCTGCCTGCTATTGTTGGTTGTATAGTATCATTATATCTATGGCAAGTAAGGTAACACTTTGTTGTGTTTTAGGGTTAACAGATTTTCACGAGGAATTTCTGAATGAAGGTACCAAAATGAACAATCAGAAAAACAAAAAGATAATTTAGAATATTATTTGAATACTTCATGAATGGTAGAGTGTATTACACTAGTTAGAACTGATATCTTCTATTAAAACATATGCAAAGTATTTTGGACAGTTTTAGCATGCAGCTATTGAGTGATGTTGGAGAGGTACTGAGATCACTGATGTTCCTTTGTTTCAGCGATGTGTACCTGTCATCTCGAGACCGCCAGATTCTGGACTGGCATTTTGCTAATCTAGAATTTGCCAATGCAACGCCTCTCACAACTTTATCACTAAAACACTGGGATCAGGACGATGACTTTGAATTCTCTGGAAGCCATTTAACAGGTATTGTCCTGGCTTTGTCACCAGTGTCATTTCTTTTGTTTCTGTCTTGTTTTATTTTCTGTTGTGACCATTTTGAATATGAAGTAAACTTGGCTTGGCTGTAATATTTCTACATTGGTTAGAACTAAAGTTGGAATAGACCAGCAGACGGGTGTTGTATGAGGACTGTGTCGAGAGGGTGATCGCACTCTGAGGCTTGAATCCCTGGTTTGTCTGGTACAGGGTAAGGGGCGGTGGGGTAGCCTACTGGTTAAAGTGTTGGTTCAAATCCCTGCATGGGTACAATGTGTGAAGCACATTTCTGGTGTCCCCCGCCGTGATGTTGCTAGAATATTGCTAAAAGCGACATAAAAACCAAACTCAGTCAGTCAGTCAGTCAGTGGTACAGGCTAATTACTTACAGGCTATGGTTATGTAGCTGGATATTGGTGAGTGTGGTGTTGAACAACAGCTAAGGTAACAGACAAGGAAGCATTTTATTACGTGTTAGTCATTTCAGTATGCTCCTTGACTTTACACATGCTGCACCCAAATGAATTCATCAAACCATTTTGTTTGTCCAGGTTTGGTTGAAAATGTGAACATGAGGCAGAGAGAGAAAAGCCCTTATTAACATTTTCAACCCAACTTGTGATGTTTTCTCCTTCTTAACCAGCTGGAAACGTTGATCAGTGAAAGAGAATCTTTCACCCAAAAGTGAGAACAAAATTATCATAGGTCAAGTCTTATGAAATCTTATGAAGATTTTATAATGCTAATGATGACAACCCTTTGTTTACACACATTTCCACACAGCTTCTGCCACTTGCATTGCTAAAATGCCAGCTGCTGCAAATTGTTGCCAAATTGTTGTGTAAATGGACTAGTTGTTATCCATAACATTGCTATTGCTCTACCTAACTTCTGCTGTACTAATCTAATAATGTCCCAGTGGTGTATTTGAATAGCATTAAGAGATCCTGTCAGCGCAGTATGAGATACCAGTGTTTTGTGCAGACTTGAAACCAACGACAGGCAAAATGCTTAGTGGGAGGATTGTAACCAGCTAAGAGGGCATGATTTGAAATGTAAATATATGGGTAGGGAAAACATAGACTCTGGTATAAGAGCAAAGCAAATATGAGTTTATACTGAGACGTTGGGCAAAGGGGTAGCCTGGTGGTCCACTGATCATGCTGCCTGCCTGGGTTCACATTGCCCACAAGTGTCAGTGTCTACTGGTATGTCCTACTGTGACTTGAACACTGCTAAAAATGGGGTAATGGCTCACTCATCCGTTCCTGAGATTTGGGTTCATGGGTCGCCTCATCATCCTAGATCCTGCAGAGTTGCGTCCCTTAGGCCTGCGAGAGACCTATGATTTGGGTCATGAAACCTGGTTTGCCACAGTTACGTTTTCAGTTTTGTCAGCACCATGGGTTTCACCAAAGGGGTAAACATCCCAGACCTGCATCACTTCTGGCTTTCCTTCCACATTAAGCGGACACTCCATATGGCTGGAATACTGTTAAAAATGGCATTAATTTTACTCACTCTGAAACTAGGAGAACCATGATTGTTGTTTAACACCACACTCCGGCAGAGACCTAAGAGGTGTGACAGGTTTGTGAGTTATAACCACACTCCGGCAGAGACCTAAGAGGTGTGACAGGTTTGTGAGTTATAACCACACTCTGGCAGAGATCTAAGAGGTGTGACAGGTTTGTGAGTTATAACCACACTCCGGCAGAGACCTAAGAGGTGTGACAGGTTTGTGAGTTATAACCACACTCCGGCAGAGACCTAAGAGGTGTGATAACCACACTCCGGCAGAGACCTAAGAGGTGTGACAGGTTTGTGAGTTATAACCACACTCCGGCAGAGATCTAAGAGGTGTGACAGGTTTGCGAGTTATAACCACACTCCGGCAGAGATCTAAGAGGTGTGACAGGTTTGTGAGTTATATTTCTAATGGTTTGTTTTTGTTCTCTTTACAGTACGGAATGGTTACTCGTGTGTACCTGTAGCTCTGGCTGAACACCTCGACATCAAGCTCAACACTTCAGTCCGACAAATTCGCTACACAACACAGGGTAGGGACGCTTATATTCACAACTTCTATTAATAGATCAAGATAATGTTTTGAGTATTTACGCATATGAAATCATTCCCACAAACATGAAACCCATGAAATGCCTTTTGATAAGCCTATGGTTGGTTGCCTGATGAAATACAGGCTCTAAAAATGGATTTTAATAATGTGATAAAAGCCCTTTGATTGTGGTTTCCTAGAGTGGTGTTGGTGTACATCAGCAAATCATTGGGCACTATATCCTGATAAAATCAAGTGGTGAACTGTCATTGTACCCGGACCACTGTGGGAAGGTGTATGGTTTGTCTGGTCCAGAATCTACCATTTACAGGATTATTGAGAATCTCTTGTCTGTAAATGAGTGTGGCCTGATCCTGAGTCCCAGTGTACACTTCCTTGACTCCAGGTGTGGAGGTGACAACAGGCAACTCCCGGATGAACATCAACCCACAGACATTCAAGGCAGATGCAGTGCTGTCCACGCTGCCGCTTGGGGTGTTGAAGGAGAGCATGAGGAACAGCGGCATCAACAGCCCACAGTTCCTGCCTCCGCTGCCTGACTGGAAGGCTGCAGCCATCAAGAGACTGGGATTTGGTAACCTCAACAAGGTATGCCAGTGTGTGGGCAAGTTTGGGTGTGGAATGTCACTGGTGCTGTAGTTCAGGAAATTTTTTTATACAAAATTTGATGCAGTCTTATCCGAAAGTTACAGGTGGGGAAATACATGAGCAGAATATCTTTTTAGATTTTAAAGAATCATTAAGAGTGAAAACATGTAGGTTGTGCTGTGTTTGGACTACAGACTGACACTGTCTGTTGTTTTGTAGGTTGTGCTGTGTTTTGACCGAGTGTTTTGGGACCCTAATGCCAACCTGTTTGGACACGTGGGCAGTACAACAGCTAGTCGTGGTGAGCTCTTCCTGTTCTGGAACCTGTACAAGGCGCCGGTATTACTGGCGCTGGTGGCTGGGGAGGCGGCTGCTATCATGGAGAACGTCAGCGATGATGTCATCGTGGGTCGGTGCATCGCAGTCCTGAAGGGTATCTTTGGCAATAACGCTGTACCCCAGGTAAACATTGTTCATGTTTTAAGCCACACTAATGATGCTACCTAAAGTTAAAATTATCACCTGTGACAAAAATTACTAGAGATAAGGGTCTGAAACTGTCAGCTGATAACGTGTAACACTGGACCTCATGATTTACAGAAAATGTTGCAGACATCAGTGATTAGCTCAGTGATTAGAGTGATTCCTTGCAATACTAAATATGTTTGACTGTATTTCCTGGGTGTTTGACTGCATGTCCTGGATTAGTGTTTGACTGCATCTCCTGAATGTTTGACTGCATGTCCTGGGAGTTTGACTGCATGTCTGGGGTGTTTGTATGTCCAGGGTGTTTGGCTGTGTTTCCTGGGATTTTGACTGTATGTCCTTTGTCTTTCAGCCGAAGGAGACACTAGTGACCAGATGGCGAGCTGACCCTTGGTCCCGAGGCTCGTACTCCTATGTTGCAGCAGGATCATCAGGTGAGCGACAACATGGACACATGGGTGACTTGGCTGAAAATACTGGGGGAAACTATCTTCTAGTTTACCCTCCAGTCCAAGGGAATTGTTTGCTACTTACATACTTTGTCATAAACATATCTGTTGTGAAAATGATTATACCCTTAGATTGAATATTCTTACTCTCACAGAATCCTGATTGCATGAAACACTTATGTAAATGCAAGGATTTAATGGATGTCAACTTCTTTGTTTTGAGGAACACAACTTTTGTTATCCATGAAATTCTTGCCTTTATGTGGATCACTGCTATAATATATATATATATTAATATAATTAGTTAAAATAATTATACAAATTTACCAAAGTCCTGATGGTGTTGACAGTCAATCGCTAGTTTTCTAATATTTACAGGCCTCAGCCATAATGCTGGAATATTGCTCATTGCAACATTAAAAACATCTTATTTAAAAAGCAACGTGACAATGCATTTGTTTCTGTGCAGGCAATGACTATGATCTACTCGCCACCCCGGTGTCTCCACAACAAGGAAGTCTACCTCGTCTGTTCTTCGCTGGGGAACACACAATCAGAAACTACCCTGCGACAGTGCACGGAGCTCTGTTGAGTGGACTGAGAGAGGCTGGGCGGATAGCAGACCAGTTTCTCGGAGCTCCTTACGCCCTCCCAACACGGCCCCCTGCAGCGCCACCTATCACTACTTCATAAAATCACAAACTACCACCACTGTTATGTTCATGTGAAGACACTCCATGTCTGCCAGCACTCAAGAGTAAACCTTGGTACTGCCATGTTCAGTGGAATTTGTATGGCGCCTTGGTGCTCGTCTCAATGACATTGTCAGTGCTACTTGGGGATTTAAAGTGCATCCACTTGGATGGAAGATGGTTGATAGATCATCCCTTGTGTACAGGAACTCGGAATGCAAAATATCCAATCTTGAATATAGCAATGTTGATTGGATCATTCATTTCTCATACATAAATTCACATACATCTGACCTTCGTTTTCCACACATTTTAACTCAGCTTTTCTTCATGGAACTACAGATTTCCATAATTTAAATTTTGGGTTTCAATAACTTTGAGTGATCTCCATGCACAGTTACATGTGGATCTGTCAGCCTCTCTACAATCTGAAACCTGGTCTCATCACCTTGTTGTGTCATGTTCACGTTGTAGCAGAGAAGCCAGTAAAAAGAGATTCAGATGTTGTATGGGAGACTCTAGCTGGAAAGACCAAGTTCCCATCAGTTGTCAGCGAGAGTGAGACACTAGCCTAATGGCTACTGTTAGATATCAAGGCTCCACAGGACTACCAAGGCTATAGTAACAAGTGCTAACATATGGTTGGGTATCTAAACCTGTCTTGGAGCAAGTTTCAACAGCAGTTACCCAAGATTAATAGTTGAAACCGACTCGGTATCAAACAATTAAAACATTGAAAAGCATTTTCAGCTTATAAAAACTATACGGCTTTAAACGTTTCAGTTGTTTTTGCTCTACAGCTGAAATAATAGGCTTGATGCTGGTGTTTTAGTGAATTGGAGACCTAAAGATGTAGTCCCGGCCTAATATGTACATATCTAGCAAATTGAGGGTTTGTGTTCTGTTTACCTTAAGCTGTACATAACGCTGTGTGAATGTAGGAATGATTCAGAAGTACTTACATGCTCATAATTCACTTTCTCGTTTATATATCCCACTGAAAAATGTCAGGTCAATATTCTGCACAACGATGGCAGCTAACAATGGACATATTCCATGCTCTGTGGTCTATTGTCTGTTTGTATTCCTGCATCTGTCACTCACTGATCTCAGATTTGAATACTGCTCAGCAGATGTTGATTGGAGGATAGTTGTTGTAGACCGTACATTCATTTTGTGTCAAATGAAAGAATTTGTCATCTCCATCGTCATCATCACGATCACCACCATGAGCAATAAGCAATATTCATTCAATCATATTTTGGTACAGTAATAGAAATCTAAATATATGTCAAGTTAAGGGTCTATATTTTAAGTAGATTTTCATGATAATGTATCCATTTTCATAGCATGTAGGCCAAAAGCAATGTCAGCTGATTCAGGCTTTTGGACTGAAGTCGAGGCTGTTGATGCTCTTCTGGTGTTAAATACCTTGAAACTATCAGAAACTAATGTATGAGGTGGGAAGACGAGTTGGAATGATGCTGTTTACTCTGTCTGATATGTGTTCCATCCACATGTCAGTGGTGAATATTAGTCAGTTTTCTGATCATCCATTTCATTGGCAACATCACTTAGAGAATTTGTGACTAAAGTGTAAATAGGAACACTTGTTTAAAAATCCACGTTCCCAGCTGTTTTTGGTGAAATGTGGATTTATCACTTCTATGAAGAATATGTTGTTAATTACAAGTGCTGAATTTTCAAATAGGACCTGTTTCCTAAACGACGTTAAGTATTATGTTAAGTTATTCTTTATTTTTGTATCAATCTTTGTCTTACGTGTGAAGTAGATGTAGAAAATAAAACTGTACAGTTTAAGTAACTCTTAGCTGTTTGTTGATGTTATATTCAGACAGTTTAGTGTTTGGGTTGGGTTTGACAGTGCTCTGACCAGTATTCCAGTCATATCAGCTCCATAATGAGAGGTGCATCATAACACACGATGCAGGTTTGATTCCCCACATTAGTACAATGTGTGAAACCCATTTCTGGTGTCCCTCTGCCGTTATATTGCTGGAATATTGCTAAAAGCAGCATAAAACTAATCTCACTCACTCATGGAGCCAACAGTAAGATATGATGCTCACACTATCAACCACAGGTTTGTGGGACTCAGGCCCCAGTGATACAGCTGAACCAGTCTATCACTGTCTGCAAAATATTGTTATTCTAACATAATATAAATCTGTACTATGTCTGTAATCCACTTGATTGTCTGTATCGGACCGTCTGCACCTTACCAGGAAACATGAAAGAGTATTGTAAACCAAAAGTCACCGTGTTCTTTAATCTGATTGGTTGAAAAACGTGATCAAATGGTATTCGATTCCCGGAAATTAGCTGCGTATTAATACATACAAACATCTCTCACACCATTGTATTGTTACGTCGTCAGCTGTGATGACGTCATTCAAATCATATTGTGACGTAAAGTCCGAATGACGTCACAAATGAGCAGTTCCAGATGCTACCATGAGAGACAGCCGAAACGGCCGGTTGATGACATTTCACTGCTGTACCCGTACACGATGTCAATGAGTGCAGACACAAAAACGTGTGTGGACCTTTTGGTTTACTTTTGTGTTTACAATGTCGATAAACATCATGTGTTGGCCAATTTCCGGGTGTTATTGAGTATTTGAAGAACAGGAATATTCCATTTGAAACCTCCAGCTGACGTCGGTTCCAAATGAATTCCCGTGCTTCAAATACTCAATAACACCCGGAAATTGGCCAACACATGATGTTTATCTCCTAATTTGATGTTACCCTGTGCTTGTCATTGAAGGGGTAGAAGCAGGTACTGATCAGCTTGAAGTCGGTGTTTGGGTGGAGCATCCAACTGCAGCATGGAATTATCTCATGGGGCAAGCCCCATGAAAGTGGCATTAATCTGTTCGTCGTTTAACGCTGCAAACTCAGCAGTATTCCAGCTATATGGCGGCAGGCTGTATATGATCAAATCTGGACCAGACAATGCAGTGATAAACATAATATGATCATTGATCTACGCAACTGGGATATGATGACATGTGTCAACCAAGTCAGTGAGCCTGACCAATCCTGTTAGTCGCCTCTTACGACAAGCATGGGTTACTGAAGACCAAAATTTGAACCCAGATCTTCACGGGTCAGTATTTATCTGTGGAGTAGTACCTACCATGAGCCAGACTGTTCAGTATACTTACTAAGATGTTTCCATGAGATACCAAAACTGGCCCCGATTTCTCGAAACAAAAGTTTTTACTCAAATTTCAAACTGAGTTTGACAATTTGAAACAGCTGAATTTTTAACTCAACTGCATTCTTTAAATACAAAAAGCCCAAACAACTTAAGTTATCTATCCACAAAAATCAAATTGTCTACTAAATTTGAGTTTGATATTGATTTCAGTTTATTTTGGGAAATGCATTTACCTGCACTTTTTCAAATTTGAGTAAAAACTCTAACTTAAGTTAAAACTCAGACTTAAGTTTGTTTTGAGAAATCAGGGCCAGGCCAAATATACTTCTCATCTCTCAACTGTTTGACAGTAGCCATATTGTCCTTTAGAATGTCATCTGTTACACAATCACAAAGTTGAAAATCCAGTACTGCTGATAACAATCAAATCATTAGATTAACTGAAAAAATACTTTAGGATTGTTTCCATTTTATTATATAGCAATATTCATTTTATACATTTTATGAAACTGATAAGCTGGGTCTTCTGTACAAAAATATAATAATGCCTCTCGGCACCCAACCACCAAATATTGAACATAACAGGCATGATCTGGAGTGGCCCTTCCACAACATGCAGCCCCTAATGGCAGACATGTTTACCACGGTAGCAGAGTACTGAGAGACAAGCAGCTCTTTAGAAGCAGTTCAAAAGTTTGATGTCACAGATATACAACTTAACTAAATGTTGTTATCCAACACAAGTTGAACCCATATTAACGAGCCTTCGTGGTTACTCATTCAGGAAGACACCGGGTTCCTGACAATAGCAGACTCTGGAATAGTCATATAATTAATTTGACAATAACAAACATTACAGTAGTTGATTATCAACGTAACATGTTATATTTGGAATTACACTTCCTCAGCAAGTAGAGATTCTAGTGGGCGATCTGACCAACTCCCATTTTGAAAACAACCTGCGCAAAAGTACTGGAATCTGTACTTTACTGAAAAGTGTAATACCAACTATGACATAGTGCATTTGACCAGTTTTTAAAATGGCAATGATTATTGATGTTTATAGTGTATGTGCACAATGAATTCCCAAATCCTATCTTAGAAATTAGGTTCCATGAAGACATTAATATTCCTAATTGAACGGGAAATGTTCTTCCAGACAATATCCCTTGTTCCGATGGGTAGTGGATAACAGGGTCACACTGAATATCCCAGTATATCAGCCTTCATTCCTGAAACAGTACATGTCTGGACATCAAGTGTAATCTCTCATTGATTCGTGTTGAAACAGTCTCACCGAGACATGGTGGCACAATCCATCAAGGGCTGTAGATAATCCAGAGTCACTCAACACCAGAATTACTTGTCTTCCTCCTCTTTGGGTGAGTTTCTCTTGGCAGTTAGGGCTATTTCTTTCACCTGTGGCAAAAGAGGCTTGATCTCCTCCATGACTGCAGTAACAGCTTCGGCATCAGCAGCGGCAGCACCGTCGGCCTGGAGCTTGGCCTGCTTCACCACATGTTCTGGGGAAGTGCAAAGTTTGTTTACATCTTGTGCCACTTAAAGTCATCACAAAATATTTCTCTAACAGAGTACCATTATTTTGATCTCACAATTAAGGAACATATGTTATACATGCATAAAGGATTTCACTTTATCAGAAAAGAACAATTTGTCATACTTTTTTGGTACTAGAATCTGTACTTTACTGAGAAAGAATGTGTAATCCCAAATATAACATATGTTGCATCTGACCACTTTTTTAAAAGGCATTGTTTACTCATAATCAAGTATTAGGAACTTGTTTGCTTATTTCCAAGACACAGATTGCAGCATATTCAGGGCACATCTGGATTCTAACTCACAACCAGCAGACCCTGGACCTGCCACAAGGACTACAACTCTGTCTCACCTTGTAGAGTGACTAGTGTTTTGTGCTGGTCCTTGACCATGTAGGATTCTAGGTACTCGATGATCTGTGGCACAACTCTGTCTTACCTTGTAGAGTGACTAGTGTTTTGTGCTGGTCCTTGACCATGTAGGATTCTAGGTACTCGATGATCTGTGGCACAACTCTGTCTTACCTTGTAGAGTGACTAGTGTTTTGTGCTGGTCCTTGACCATGTAGGATTCTAGGTACTCGATGATCTGTGGCACAAGTCTGTCTTACCTTGTAGAGTGACTAGTGTTTTGTGCTGGTCCTTGACCATGTAGGATTCTAGATACTCGATGATCTGTGGCACAACTCTGTCTTACCTTGTAGAGTGACTAGTGTTTTGTGCTGGTCCTTGACCATGTAGGATTCTAGGTACTCGATGATCTGTGGCACAACTCGCCCCGGGGCATGCACCATCATCTGTGTGTAGGTCTGGAACAGCATGACTGCAGCAAGGTGGAGAGCCATGGCGGGGTCACTCTCATCCTTCACGCTCTCCACTAGAGACTGACGATGATTGAACACAATTTGCCTGAAAGAAATATTATCATTCATATTTACATTTTCAATTGGTTCACTGTGCTAAGTTGAGAGACATTTACTTATAGTTTTTAATAAAAACTACAACAAAACAAAGCCATTCGAAAGCGCAGCACATAAGCTTATTGTTATGTGCACATATAAACAGCAGAAAGCATGAAACAGATTTAGACTATAGCTTCAGGGGAAGGTCATACTGAACGAACACCAAAAACATCAAGATAATTGACAATATTGTCTTGAGGCAGATAGTGAAGAATATGAGGGAGTAAGTGCCCAAGCATATAACTCCAGGGTATCAGGGCATGGTCTATAGTCTGTTTCAACTTTCTCTGTGTTCCAGTACTATCTATTTGTAACAGAGAATTCATGTATTTAAGCCCCTGGCTTAACAATAAAAAAGTCCCACTTTGGTTATCAAAGAATAGAACAATAGTTAAGCCCAAAGCTTAAATTCTGGAAGTGCACATATTTAGTAAAAAAAAACAAGGTTTAAGTCTTAAGCTACAGGAAACTTCCTCTATATATTTCGGGAGCAGGACAAAAGCCACCCAGACAAAAAACACCCGGACAAATGCCAACCGAACAAAATGCCACCTAGGACAAATGCCACTTAATTCAACTATTTCAACTACAAGTCTAAACCAAATGAAACCAAGCACCTGTCTGTTTCTACTCCACACCCTTTCGAAAGCTTGTATGAATTTGAGAATTTCCCTACCACTCTGCCTGCCCACAGACAGCAAGCACCTGCCTGTTTCACTCCATACCCTCTCCCTGCCCCACTGCCTGCCCACAGACAGCAAGCACCTGTCTGTTTCACTCCACACCCTCTCCCTACCCCTCTGCCTGCCCACATACAGCATGCACCTGCCTGCTTCACTCCACACCCTTTCCTTTCCCTACACCTCTGCCTGCCCACAGACAGCAAGCACCTGTCTGTTTCACTCCACACCCTTTCCCTACACCTCTGCCTGCCCACAGACAGCAAGCACCTGTCTGTTTCACTCCACACCCTTTCCCTACACCTCTGCCTGCCCACAGACAGCAAGCACCTGTCTGTTTCACTCCACACCCTTTCCCTACACCTCTCCCTGCCCACAGCCTCTTTCACCCCCACACTGCCTGCCCACAGACAGCATGCACCTGCCTGCTCACTCCACACCCTTTCCCTACACTGCCTGCTGTTTCACCCCACACCCCTCTCCAGACAGCAAGCACCTGTCTGTTTCACAGCAAGCACCTGTCTGTTTCACTCCACACCCTTTCCCTACACCTCTGCCTGCCCACAGACAGCAAGCACCTGTCTGTTTCACTCCACACCCTTTCCCTACACCTTTCCAAGCACCTGTCTGTTTCACTCCACACCCTTTCCTACCAGGTTTTCTAAAATCACATCATCATGCTATGCAAGCATACATTTTTTATGCAGACATCCTGTCTGGGATCAAATACACAGCTTTCAGTTCCATCCTGTTGATAAAAATCTTTCAGAGGGAGATGTCAAAATTAGACCAACACTAGACAGCATTATGTGAAGGTGAAAGGTTGACCTCAAATCGAAAAATATAACAGAAAACATATTACTATTCATACAAAATACCTGCTGCATGATATGTTTGAGTGGCATTCCAGAAGTTGGTGGTATAGAGATGACAAAACTTTATGGAGTGATTGAGTGATTGAGTATGGTTTTACACCGCTTTTAGCAATATTCCAGCAATATCACGGCAGGGGACACCAGAAATGGGTTTCACATATTGTACCAATGTTGGGAATCGAACCCGGGTCTTTTAGCGTGACGAGCCAACGCTTTAACCACTAGGCTACCCCATCACCCCCAAAACTTTATGGATGATCAACTTCTTTATTTTGACAATCGCGACGTTTCGGTTTAGATTCTCATACCGTTCTTATGCTTGAAAACGCTCATATGCTTGAAAACGATCTAAGAATCTATACCGAAACGTCGCCATTGTCAAAATAAAGGAGTTTATCATCCATTAAGTTTGTCATCTCTGCCTGCTGCAGGACTTGTGAAACTTTACAGTTTCAATATGGCTATGACAGAAATTAGATATACCGTTCTGCACACCTCACTCACTTGTTCCAAGAATGTCAGAGCCTCTAGGCTGAATAGCTTATTAGCAAGTTCACCTGACATGTCCTATTACACACATACACACCAGATAATGCGAGTGTTCCCTACCTTCCCCGTGACGGACATATGTAGCTTGGTCATCATGGTCTGTTCCGCTGCAGGGAGACTGCTAATTACTTTCAGCCTGGCCTGGGATGAATAGAAAGATACCATATATGCACACTTAGGTGATGGAAGTGTTTTCCTACTGAAACAAAGCCGTGGCAGCGATAGGATCCAGGGAATTCATTTGAAGAATGGAGATATAGTAGCCTGGACAATCGCGGGTACTACACCCTGTCTTACTTAAATACATTTCAACAGGAAGTGTCCGAGACCCCCAAATAGTTCATTATATCTGGCAGTTTTCTATAAGTGTGTTCCTTCTAAACATAGTTGACAGTACATAAACATGGTGAAGTAAATTCCTCTATCAAAACTTAACTTTGTTAGTTTCCTGTATTTGACAGTTTACTCCACAGAATAATCACAATTGTCAACTCAACATAAGGAATATTGTGGCAAATAACAAGATCAGAAAAAGACACATTTGACCAATAATCCAACAGAGTTCCAAGCACATTGTCTGCCTACCTCTGGTGTGAGACCTTCATCATCAATGACAGACATAAGGCTGTCAGTAGCCACAGCATTCAACACAATGTTGGTGATGTCGGTGCACACAGTGTTCAGCAAATACTTGACTAGCTGCACGTGGGTATCACCTACACAAACAACAGGCATGATCATCATTGTACACCTTGGTCCTGTTCTTTACCTGACATCAATCCTGTCTGCTTTCAACACAAATACTGCAAGGTGAACTATACAATCATTAGTTAAGGACTGATAATTTTATGACTGATTTTATTAACAACTTGACAAAGAAACTAACATAAAAACTATTTTGTTCAGGGTTTAAAAACAAGTAAAACTGCTCACAACACAGGATGGGCATCATGAGGAAAATATGTTGGGTGCATTTGTCTCAAATCAGAACTAAAACATCTGAACCTCCCAAATCCCGAATGCAAGTTGGTCCTGCCCTATTGAGCAGGCAAATATCAACAGAGCATATCTCACCACCAAAGTGTTTCAGCCCCTTCTCAAACAGTTTAGCATTGGTCCACAGCCCTGACACTTTCTCTTGCAACTCTCCATGGGTCTTCTTTCTGTCTGAGCCTGTCGCAGTGCCAGATGTTTCCATGAATATAGACTTCGCCACTTCCTGGAACTGTCGAGTCAGCGGTCTGGACACAGAACAATGTGGACATAGTATACACAGTTGTACATTAGTCGGAGGTATGACAGCTAGGTCAGGGTGACCTGCCATGATTGTATGGCCACTTGGCCATTTATGTCCAGAGAAATACTGCGGTCAACTCTCAGTGCTAGAGCCATGACAGACACAACACTAAATGGTCAACAAATTACTACTTAAAACATCACTTAGCAATATTCTACCTATATTATGGCAGCATGAAAACAGAGTTTAGACCAGACAATCCAGTGATTAAAGATAATAAGCAATAAGTACTCCCATCAAGGTACAATGATATGCAAACATGCAAGTTACCCATTGTGCTGATCCACACAACAGGAACCATTAAGATCATCATCATGGTAAATCTGAGCTTCAAACTAATGATTGTCAGCAGATCCTGACATGGTTAAGAGAGGCAACTCTGACCCCAAATTATGTTGTGATCTGAAATCAGTGGTCAACACTAATGGCCATATCCAACTGGTCAACAGCTCATCGGGATGGTGGGGTAGCCTAGTGGGTAAAGCGTTGGCTCGTCACGCCGAAGACCCGGGTTCGATTCCCCACACGGTATAATGTGTGAAGCCCATTTCTGGTTTCCCCGCCGTGATGTTGCTGAAATATTGCTAAAAGCGGCGTAAAACCAAACTCACTCACTCACTCACAACAGCGCATCCTTAACTAAGCCATGAAGATCCGGCTTAGAATTGATCTTCAGTAACCCATGCTTGTCATAAGAGGCAACTAACGGGATCGGGTGGTTAGGCACACTGACTTGCTTGACAACTGTCACTGTATCCCAATTACGTAGATCGATGTTCATGCTGTTGATCACTGGATTGTCTGGCCCAGACTCTATTATTTACAGATATATGGCTGAATTATTGCAGAGTGTGGCGTATAACTAAGCTCACTCACTCATCTTTAATTACTAGTACAGTAACTACAATTTCTGGGGCAAAAACATCTGTCCCAAGAGAGGTGAAGGTCACTAGCTCAACCCGTTGGACACATCATCCTGAAAGACATTGTACTTATTAGTTCCTCTGTATACTATGTGTGAGTGGGGTATCCTCATCAAACTGTGGCATGGTATCTCAGTGGGCTAGAACAGCACAGGCCCAGACTAGTACCAGCAGTCAAACACATATCATGGCATTGCTAAATAACTGAAATAAGTCTAACATGAATTAACAGTCTACCTTTCTGGACTGATCAAAACATAGTTAATGAGGCACAGTAAACTAGCAACAAACTCCCACCTGTACAACTTGCTGGCTATTTCACTGATCAAGTCTTCCGGACAATCCTGAAGCTTCTCCTGTTTACGGATGACATCTGACATTTCAGTGATGGTCATAAATGTCACCTCGCCTGGCTTTGTGCGTGTGTTGGAAGACTGAACAGTGTCATCATCAGAATCGTCTTCCTGATCGCCACGACCAGTTCGGTACTTTTTCTTTGTTGCTTTCATCTTCGCCTCACGTCCCTGTGTCCCCCCTCCACTTTTTGTGCTGGCTGCAACACAACCCAGAGATACAGTGTAGTGGGTATGTACAACTGTTATCCAGGATCTACAGTGTAGTGGGTGTGTACAACTGTTATCCAGGATCTACAGTGTAGTGGGTGTGTACAACTGTTATCCAGGATCTACAGTGTAGTGGGTGTGTACAACTGTTATCCAGGATCTACAGTGTAGTGGGTGTGTACAACTGTTATCCAGGATCTACAGTGTAGTGGGTATGTACAAGTGTTATCCAGGATCTACAGTGTAGTGGGTGTGTACAACTGTTATCCAGGATCTACAGTGTAGTGGGTGTGTACAACTGTTATCCAGGATCTACAGTGTAGTGGGTGGGTACAACTGTTATCCAAGATCTACAGTGTAGTGGGTGTGTAGAACTGTTATCCAAGATCTACAGTGTAGTGGGTGTGTAGAACTGTTATCCAGGAACTACAGTGTAGTGGGTGTGTACAACTGTTATCCAGGAACTACAGTGTAGTGGGTGGGTACAACTGTTATCCAAGATCTACAGTGTAGTGGGTGGGTACAACTGCTATCCAGGAACTACAGTGTAGTTGGTGTGTAGAACTGTTATCCAGGAACTACAGTGTAGTGGGTGTGTACAACTGTTATCCAGGATCTACAGTGTAGAGGGTATGTACAACTGTTATCCAGGATCTACAGTGTAGTGGGTGGGTACAACTGTTATCCGGATCAACAGTGTAGTGGGTGTGTACAACTGTTATCCAGGATCTACAGTGTAGTGGGTGTGTAGAACTGTTATCCAGGATCTACAGTGTAGTGGGTGTGTACAACTGTTATCCAGGATCTACAGTGTAGTGGGTGTGTAGAACTGTTATCCAGGATCTACAGTGTAGTGGGTGTGTACAACTGTTATCCAGGATCTACAGTCTAGTGGATATGTACAACTGTTATCCAGGATCTACAGTGTAGTGGGTATGTACAACTGTTATCCAGGATCTACAGTCTAGTGGGTATGTACAACTGTTATCCAGGATCTACAGTGTAGTGGGTATGTACAACTGTTATCCAGGATCTACAGTGTAGTGGGTATGTACAAGTGTTATCCAGGATCTACAGTGTAGTGGGTATGTACAACTGTTATCCAGGATCTACAGTGTAGTGGGTGTGTACAACTGTTATCCAGGATCTACAGTGAAGTGGGTATGTACAACTGTTATCCAGGATCTACAGTGTAGTGGGTATGTACAACTGTTATCCAGGATCTACAGTGTAGAGGGTGTGTACAACTGTTACCTAGGATCTACAGTGTAGTGGGTATGTACAACTGTACATCCAGGATCTACAGTGTAGTGGGTATGTACAACTGTACATCCAGGATCTACAGTTCATTTACACCTGACAAGATGCTTATACAAACAACTCTCAGCCAAATATCGTACTATATAATGGCTGATGTACACAACTGAGATGGTACAGACAACTGGTTGATAGCATCAGCAATGACCAACACTATTGCTTCGAAAACTTATAAACTGAAGACAAAATAATGAAATTCAATTAATTTGACACAACAGTCATCCATCATTTTATCAGATTTTCATTTCTATACATATTTCTTGCAATCAACTACTGCGAAACATTGCAATTCTGCATGGCTATAAAGATAAGCTGTTTCATACTAAGAACTACAACCAAACCCCCTTAGTCCTGACCCTGTAATACTGAATTCCAACCTTCTGGATGATTACTGCTGTAGAATTTCCATGCATACATACAGAATCACAATAAAGTGTCTCCTGATATCAAGTACAACAACACAAGCCAACAGTTTGAAACTCTTGAGGCCTGCCAAGGAGCCTTAAACCTTTATCAATAAGTGTTGACATGTTTGATGTCACGATGATATTTTACTTATGATCCAAGCCCATCCTCCCAACTTGTTTAGCTTGCCAACAGTGATAACCTGTGTGTTGATGGTTAAGATTAGAGTTCAGTGTCATATAAAGATATGTGACGTCATATGACTGGTAACACCCCGGTAAACAGCTACACAACAACGGTCCGCAAACCATTGTGATACAATTCAGTGTGACAAAATCACCTTCAGAAGCCAAGATGGTAAAAGTGAAATACTCTGAACATGTAATTTGTTATTGAGGACAAATTCAACTGGTGAACTTTCGTCCATATCAAGAGAGTTTCAAAATATATACATCTAATCAGAGACCATATAATAGATCTATTATACGGTCTCTGATCTAATTAAAAGAAATGCAAACATGTTAGATGGGTTATCACAGTTATGTGATGAAATAGCATGTGACTGAATACCAGTTATTGTTCAGTATCCCACAACATGAAGTAAACAAACGCACTGCTAGAGTGAAAGTGCTAAACATAAAGTCAGTATTTACAGGCGGCTTTTTTTCTTCGCTGGTCTTTCTTGTCTTCCCGAGCAGAGCTTCCATCGTCCAGGCCTGCCAGTTTACCTCCCTTCTTGTCTCCCTCGGTGTTCAGGAACACTGGGTTAGATTTGGCTTCCTGGACACAAATAGTAAACATCTTCAATCTGGAAACTATTTTCACAATACAAGTTCTCTCTTATATACTGAATCATACGCTGCCAAATAGCTGGGATACTGCTGAGTGCGGCGTAAAACTAAACTCACTCACTCACTGAATCATAATAGGACACATCAAGTTACTTCTTTTTAAAAAGAATATGCTGGTTTTTAATGAAAATATGCTCTTTCCAACTCGTTTCATTATAATTCTTGTCAAAACTTGTGTGAGCAATTTCAAACAAAGTAGCAACTTGTGAACTTGTGACAAACAGAAATGAAGGATGTATGGAGTTGATTTAGCTGATCAGATATCAATTTTCTTAAGGAATTTGTCACTGACTAGTTGTAACTCAAGCAAGTGCTTGAGCTGCAGGTGTTTTCATGGTCAGCTGGGGAGCAGTCAGAAGTTGGTGATTGACAGGTGAAGCTGACATAACAGGATGTACAGTGTCAATGAGGAGTCTGGCATTTTTTTTTCTCACCGTTCAGAGCATCCTGTCTATTTTGTTTAAGCTATATAAAAGACAGATGAAGAGGAACAGTGTTTATGGATAGACAAATTCTTTATTGCAGTGGATGCAACGTTTTGGTGTAGATCCTAACACCATTATCATTTGCTGCTTAACGATGTTAGGATCTACACCGAAATGTCGCATCCACTGCAATAATAATAATAATAATAATAATAAATGGATATTTCTTATGCGCCATAGTCCATCCAGAGCATGCTCAAAGCGCTACATATAAAAAGAGTGACTAGAGTTCAAGAAGAAGATATGACAATTAGCCAAAAATAACCGTGAGAGTATTTTGCAGTTATAGGTTGTAGACTTTTTTGAAGAGGAAGGTTTTGAGTCCCGATTTGAATGCTTCTAGGGATGAAGCATTTTTTATGGGAGTAGGAAGACTGTTCCATAGGGTTGGTGCTGCAAATTTGAATGACCTATGGCCAAAGTGTTTGAGGCGAACTTGGGGAACTGAGAGAAGATGTTGATTCTGAGGCGGAGAGAGCGGGCAGGCATATATGTTGACAACATCTCAGAGAGGTATGGAGGAGCTAGGCGTGTTTGCAGCGGAAAACAAGAGTGCAGATCTTGAAATGAATTCTTGCTTCAACCAGCAGCCAATGCAGACTCTGGAGGATTGGGGTTATGTGAGTCCATTTGGATGTTTTAGTGACAACTCTGGCGGCAGCATTCTAAAGTTTTTGAAGTCTGAAGAGAAGATCATTGGAGATTCCAAACAGTAGGCTATTGCAATAGTCAATCCTGGAGAGAACAAGTGACTGAGTGAGAACTTTAGCAGCATCTGTGGTTACAAGATGGCGGATGTTACCAATAGAGTGGAGATGGAAGTAGCCTACTCTACAGAGATGGTTCACATGTTGCTCCATGGTGAGACAAGGATCAAGATGAACACCTAGGTTTTTACACTGGATGAAAGTGGGATATCTGAGTTGGCTACTGTGATGTCCGTAGAGTTTATCCTTTTCAGACATTGCGATGTGCCAATCAACATAGCCTCAGTCTTATCATCATTGAGCTTCAGCTCATTTGTCATCATCCATGAACTAATTGCCTTCGTGCACTGACTCACTCTAGATCTGGCTATTTGTACATCCTCTGGTTTGAAGGAATCCATCAATTGGAGGTCGTCTGCAAATGCGTGGTGATTCAGATCAAAGTTATCAATGACCTTCTCCAAAGGGTTTGTGTATAACACAAAGAGAAGCGGCCCAAGGACTGAGCCCTGGGGTACACCACACTCTAGGATCGTTGACTCAGAGATGCTTTCAGAGACAAGAACTGACTGACTCCTCATGCTCAGATAGGAACGGAACCAGGCCAATGCATCCCCTTGTATGTTATAGTCATCCTGAAGGCGGCTAAGGAGCTTCTGATGGTTGACCCGTGTCGACGCCGCTGAGAGATCAAGCAAGAGGAGAAGTGACACATTACCCAAATCCGCATGGCATCTCAAGTTATTCAGAATTTGAAGTAAAGGCGGTCTCGGTACTGTGCCTAGGGACGATAGGCTGATTGGAATCTGTTCAGAAAATCATTTGAAGAGAGATAGGATCTGAGTCTGACATCAACTGCACGTTCAAGGATCTTGGAAAGGAAAGAGAGGTTGGAGACAGGTCTGTAATTCTTGAGAGTATTGATATCCAAATTGTCTTTCTTAAGTAATGGCTTTACCACAGCTTGCTTGAACACCTCTGGAAAGACACCATTACCTAAGCTCAAGTTGATCAGTTTCGTGATAACTGGCAAAAGAGTCTCCAAAAAGTCATCAAGGAGACGAGTTGGCATCGGATCGAAAAGACACAATGTCTTTTTTGACCGTTTGAAGAGTGCAGCTATCTCACCCTCAGTGAAAGAATCAAAGGTGTCCAGGCAGATCCCATCATCGGGTGGGCATGAGTTGTCTATCCATAAAAAGTGTTCCCCTTCATCATACCCCCTTCTAAATGCCACTTAAGGAAGAAAAAAGACAGATGTGCCGTTCAGATAGGTTTATTTTCACCTTAAGAATTTAGAGTGGGTGAGTAAGTTTAGTTTTACACTGCACTCAGCAATATTCCAGCTGTATGGTGGCGGTCTGTAAATAATCGAGTCTGAACCAGACAATCCAGTGATCAACAGCATGAGCATCGATCTATGCATCTGGAATGCGATGACGTGTGTCAACCAAGTCAGCGAGTGTGACCACCCGATCCCGTTAGTGGCCTCTTACATAAGAATTTAAAAGAAGTGACACTGATTGGCTGACAAGAAAGTTTTCCTGGCGAGACCTCTGACATTTCCGACTGCTAGTTTGTCAGACCTTGATGGTGTGAGATATTGAATCAGAGACGAAGGTCTGATTTCAGTTCAACAGCTTTATGCACATACAAGGAAACTAACTCACCTTCCTTGCTTTTGATGTCATGAGTTCTGAAAATGGCTTGCTACACTCAGATATGAGACTCTCGCTCGCCACAATGCTCTCACAGCACACAATTACACCTTGACGGCCCCGCAGATAATTGGTCAACAGCTGTCCTGCATCCTTGACGCTGAATATGGACGGCATCACGGTCTGAAAGCAAAAACACAGTAAACAGTTAACATGGCTAGCACATTTTGTTACATCTTTCAAATATAAAACTAAAGCATGAAGACTCGTATCAGCTTGGTCAGATCCTCCATAAGGCTCCAGATGCTCAATAGTAGGCTTGTGGTTGTTTTATCTCATACAGGGAGTTGTTCTATACTAAACAGCTCAGTACATGTTTGAAATATTCCACATGGTACCTGAACGTGATGGAAAGACTGAGTTTAATATCCTATAGCTAGAGAAATATGGCCCCTGGTTTACATAAGTACAACCAGAAATTATTGAGAATTTAAAGATTGTAATTTTAAAAAAAAAATTCAATCATTACTCATTAGCAGAACATAACTCCAGGTTCAAAGACAGGTGAACAGTTAGTATTTTGTCAAGTCACCATGGGCAGCAATGTAGGCTTCAATGCGACGGGGCATAACTACTGATCAAAGAAGTTGGAAAGTCGTGGTCCATGCTGTCCCAATATCAGACCACCTCTTCTTTCATTTCAGCAATATTTGTCAGATTTTCTTATTGGCACTTTCCTTCATAAGTCCCCAAACATTTTCTATTGGATTTAGGTCAGGGCTATAGCTTGGCCAGTCTAAAAAGGCCTTTTTGGGGGCCGAAACCAGGCCTGTGAATGCGTTGAACAATGTTTTGGGTCGTTGTCCTGCTGGAAAATATAAAAATTTCCATAGAACACGTGAGCAGATGGAAGTAGATGTCCCTCGAGAATATCTGTGTACCGCTCACTGTTCATATTCCCTTCAAATACACAGAGGGGCATTGCCCCTAACACAGATATGCCACCCTACATGTTAAATTTTGGACTGTACTTTGGATGCTGATACAAAGGTTTTTCAGTTTGTTTGGTCCAGAATTTCAGTGTATTAGGAAACAGCCAAACAGAACTTTCATCTGAGAAAATCACATTGTCCCAGTTAAAATTTCTATGCTGTAAGCACCAGTTCAACCTGCGCTCCTTTTGTTCAGGTTTCATGATCAGTGATGGAATTCCTCGACTTTTCTGCCAACCCATTGCATGCAGCTCAGTTCTAATTGTCTCTTTACAGACAGCCACAGTTCCTCTATCAATCATATACAGCCTTAAGTTTTCTAAACTCCTTCATTTGTTTTTAGAAACAAGAATACCAAGCCGCCTCCTGTCACCGACAGTCAATTTTCTGGGCCTACCTGCGCCTCCCTGGTGCTCAATGCCATATCCATTTGCAATATTTTTCAAAACACGATAAACAGTGGACAAAGGGATGCCTGTTCTACTTGAAATCACTTTAGCTGATCTGATGTCCTTGTTATAATACTCTAAAATCAACTTCCCCTTCTCTAAATCATCCATACTGAGGATCACTGAAAATGTCGTCTGCTAGCAAGTAAACAAAGGGGGGTAACTCTTCACAAATTAATGAAAAAGGATTAACAGAGTTGTCTCTCTTGAATGAAACCAAGCAGTTGATAGCTGGTCAAGGTTGTTTATACTAGAAATCCAATTAAACATATTCCTAAAATTCTCAATAATTTCTGGTCATACTATATATGTCTCAGATCATACACAGAAGTGTGCCCTAGTTAAACTACTGCATGGCTCTGAAGTGACTGGCACAACAACTATGTCAGTTATATCACAGAAGCCTGTAAGTATCCAGCCATTTGGGTATGAAGGTACATGCTGGGTCACTCACAACACACATGGACACGCACACACTTCTCACCTGCACCCACACCTGTGCTAATACCTGCCACGTCAACACTTTAACCACTGGACTACCACACCAGCCTTCAAGTTTTATGCAATAACTCTGTGACTTACCATAATGTCCACCCATCCTCCTGTAGAGAGGGCTTCTTCAGCTGTAGCCTCAATCTGGTCCTGAATTCCTTTCCCAGCACAACATGTCTTCAAGTAGGTGATTGGCTCATCCTTGAAACGCTTCTTGATGAAGCTCTTCACGTCAGATATCCCCAGTCTCGACAGCGAGTCATACTCTGGATAGTGAAACTCTTATAAATACACACCGATATAACATGAAGATATGTCCAAAGAGTATGACCAAACTGTGATGCATAATTAAACTGATTTACCAGAAATACCAGTACACATCTAAGGACTGTGGAGCATACAGTTATACCTACAATACCATGGTACACGCATACAGTAGTCAAAACGAATCACCTCTACACAACAAATACTCAAGTTCACCCCAATTTCATTCTGGTTCTCCATAATGTCTGCTGTCTTTGATGCATTCAAATAGTGTAGCTTTTCATGAATTCCATACAGGTTTGAACATCAAGAAACAGAAATGTTGTTCGAGATGTATGTGCATGACACAAGACTAAACTACTCCACACACGTACCTAGATATCCATTCTGTTTGTAGAAGGCATCAACCCACTCATTCTGTGACTGTGTGTAGATGTCTGGAATGTATGTTGCCTTCTCGTTTTTTACCTCCAGATACTGAACCTGCCAGACGTCCCGTCTTGATCAGTTTCTCTAATATAGCTAGAAAGAAAATGCAATCATGTGTGAACTTGAGAAACAAAACTATTTCAATAAATTGGTGTTAGTGGATAGTTATATGATTTACAACGGTTTCATTGACCTTGATCATCCCTTTTCAAAATAGGACTGGTATTTTATAGCTGATCTAACATGGTAACTGATCATGAAGTTACTAAATACTATATTGTGGTAGAGTCTTACTATGAAAGAGTCTCTCCTTGCAGCCATGCTGGGACATCACGGAGAGCACAGGCGTCGGCCTGCAACAAATGGTCTGATAAATACATAGTAGAGGGTTGAATATGGCTCCAGTCATGCATGAACTTTAAGCATCATTCACCCATATCACTGTTAGCATCCACAATGAATCGGCTTCAGACTAGTGGTGTTCCAATTACATGTAATTGAAATAATCAAAGATTGGTCGCAGTGACCAAACGACCAATCAATCGATCACATTTTCTCATAATCGAACATAAACGATTTTGGAACTACTGTTTTAGTCTTTCAAAAACTTGACAATTGAACATATCTTAGAAGTTGTCAGGGCCTGAAAACGTGTTTATTTCTTAGAAAACTCACTTCACTAACTGAAAAGCCATGACTGAATATTTCTCTAAGATTCAAGGAAGTTTATGTTCATGATATATTAGTTATCACTTTAAAGTAGTAAGTTGCATCATGTTATACATATGTGGTAGAGTTTAAGTCTGTACATAGTGATTATGCTTTATCATTTTGCTGTTTTACTTTAACATGTTTAAAATAATGTCATTTGTATATTTCAGGCAATACAGTAATTAATAACTATTTATTGTATTAATTTCAGATATATGAACCAGTCATCTTCACTGATTTCTAAATAATCAAATCTCTTATTTCAGGCTGCATAAGATATTTCAGCAGTTGCAAGTAAACTAGTATCATTAAAGCTCATTTCTTTTGTTAAGTAATTTCATTGGGTAAGTCCACTTCTGTGTCGGGTAGATCAGCTAGCAATCAAAGTATAAGCCCAGGTATTTTAATGATTGGCTAATTTTGAATTAGGTGTCCCACTTTCAAACCACATAGGCATTATTGTCACTGGCACATACAACTTGCACTTGGACACTTGGAGACACACACAAAACCAGAAATTAAAAGGGTTAGTTACTATTATGTTCTTTTTATGCCATTGTAATGTATAAATCACTTCATGTAAATATATCTATATCAGATTAATGTGATGTGTGTGTGTGCATATGTTGAGTGTATGCATATAAGAAATACCATATCTGATTATATGTGTGGTTTTGTTTATCTGGTAGTAATTTGTATTGTTTATTACTGAATTGATAATAGTTTATATGAAATATTTAGATGTGTAAATAGATTAGTACTCATGGTATGTTTTATATCATGAACAGGTTCATACAAGATTATCTTGAGTACGGACAACAACACCCCCGTGGGAATCACAGGGTACATATGTTTATATATATTTGTAATGTATAATTAATTGAACATAACAACATCATGCATGTATTGCATGTGTAACTTCAACGACCGCAATATGTCAAGCTTATATAAAGTAGTGATATCTGTATCACTTATGATTATGTAGAATTGTTGCTTTTATATGTCAGACTGTGAGATGAACTGTATTCTTATTATCTCATTCCTTGTTACAGGGCGTCAGTTTGTCATCAGTTTGTCACCAGCTAATAAACAGTTCTCACACCCTAGCCTGTGTTACCGTGACTACTGTCACAAGACACTTTGATGGCTACTACACATATCTGGAATAACAACCTGGGTGCCGTTGTACAAAGCGATCTTAGCGCGCTAAGGTGACCGTAACTCCCATTCATTAACGTAGACTTAAGGTAGCCTTAGCGCTAAGGTCGTTTTGTACAATGGCACCCTGGATAGGAAAATCTGAAAAATGATGCTAACCAATTTTTTTCGATGATTGTTCGATGGTAATGAAGCAATCATCAATTGTGAGATTTCAACCAATTCCCAACATTACTTCGAACACATGGGTAATGAGGGTCTTCGGTGCATCCACACACTCAGGGAACACATTTTGGAACAACTCAACCCATTGTTAGCAGCTAGTTCAATGAAAAGGAAAGGGACAACTGCTTATAACCCTCTTCGCAGATAAACGACACTCTTAAAAGTACTCCTCCATTTGGCACAATGATATACCATGGGAACACTTTAACATCCATTGCATGTAGCCTGAAAATACGAAACCATTTCTATTGCTGTACCTTAATAGACGGGGTCTTGGGTCTATAATAATTGAGCTAGATAAGACAACATAATTCTGTTCTATTACTGCAACTTAACTAAATGCTGTACAAAGATCCTGCAGTTTGCACATTATACAACATTGCTCACAATATGTCTGATTATCACGTGATAGTGCAGCTACACCTACTTTGTGACAGCACTGAGTGAGCCACGGATTCTGGCCTTCATCCTCGTCACAAATGCGTGGGTGAAGATGACGTCACGGTCATAGCTATCAAGTTGACCTTTGATTATAGACCCAAGTCTCGCACGAACCACCTGCAATAGAAATACACATTCAGGATCCAACACATTAATGTTTGTCATAAGGGACATAAAGATATTTCTTCTATTAATGAACTAAAGTGATTTAAGAGGATGACACAGAATATTATAGTGTAGACAACATAACTGAAACATCTATCAATCTTGTTCAGCAGCAACTGGATATCTTGTGGCGCACACACAAAAACACAACAAAGGACTGATACACAGGTCTGAAAATAAGGAGCGCCCTTCCCTACTGGATCTGGATTTGCCAGTTTACAACTATGATATATCAATGCATCTTTAAAAGAACAGGAAATTAAAACATTAACATGGTAACCTGTTTTCAATAGCATGAAAACCAAACCATGCTCTAATGACAGAATGCTCCAGGTCATGTGTGAGAAAACACTTGCATCATGTGCACATGACATTCTTTCCGTATTTGGCAACCAATATAACAAACAGATTCACCTGTTATCACCTTTTAGTTGCTCTGCTTAAATATGGCAAAGTTGTTACACATACCTCAGTGAGAAAGTCGGCTGGCAGGTCATAGGTCTTTGTCAGTTCTGCAATGGTCACTTGGCCTTGTTCAGTAAGTTTGTCATTCACCTCCTCAGCCAGACGATCTTTATAGGTGCTATATAAGATAACATTGCAAATCAGCAAGGTTGCTTAGTAAAGCCACAAACATATATCATAACACTGACATTACATGTTGTCTACAATCTGAGAGAAGAATTTCACCTTATATTTCTTCTAACAGACTGCTGATAATAACCAAGGCATCTGTGTAAATTAAGTGTGGATGATTCAAGTGAAGCATGAATGTTTGACAAAGTGCTCGACACGGTGTATGTCATCAAGGAAGACAAGAAGGAAGCCATACATCTGCCTTCCTTCAACGTCTGCAAACACGTAGGATAAACACCATGTGACTTTGTGAGGGGGTTGGTAGTCAGCTGCGATGGGATAAAAATCTGGTAATATTTATACATTTTGTAATCCTAACTAATACAAAAGAAGAACCTATGTATTCAATATCCATGAATGGTGGTCACGGCTTACACATCAATGAGCTGTCCCAGTACCAGGCTGATCTTCCTGTTCTGGCCGACGATGGAGTTCACCTTGGCCTGGATGTGGTTCAGATCAACATTGAGAATCTGCTGCAGTTCAACCAGGTTGATACGACCTAAATACAACACAGGGATGGGATAAAATATGCATCAGCCTCTCATATCAAATCAGGCAGAAAGTCAAACAAACAGTACATTTAAGATGCAGCGATTATCATGATTATAGATTAATGACTGAAGTTATGTCTGAAGTTTGTATACTAGTACCTAGAGATACCGTTCAAGGTGGCATGTCTATATATTGATGGCATGTCAATATACCAACAGTTAACATCCATAACAACTCTTTGCTGTGTTTCTTTGCTGTGTTTCAGAGACATGTTAAACTTTGTTGGTCATGCAAAGAATCATACAAAGAGGGATGGTACCAAACAACAGTCACCAAACCATTGCAATAGTAATGAAACAGGTATCTGTATTACTAGTACTGTTTTATGACAATATTGTTTTTAATTCTTATACTACAAATGCAATAGTCAAATTGCCCAGGAATATCACACAGACATGATCACACCACAGATGTAGTATTAGTCTTTTCTTAATGATTTTTACAGGACACACACTTAACTTGTTGAGTGCTGCTACCCTGTTTTCTCAGTGGTACTAGTGCACATGGTCGTGTTCCTAGTTTGTATTCTTCAACCATTTTATGAATGAAATATTAAGTTTTGAAATTGCTTATCAGGAGAGTATATCTATATTAAAATGATCTAATTGAAATTAACCAAAAATATATCTAAGGACATCTGGGTTGCCTTGTAGTTACACTGCTCAAGCCAAGGATCAATTCCGTTGTCCAAGCCAAGGATCAATTCCGTTGTTCAAAGATGTGTTGTTTATAATATTGACAAAAGCAGAGTGAAAACCAATTCACTCACTCACTCATTTACACGTAACATCCCAACATGTAGATGATTAATGTGTACCTCCATGAACATATAGTTCTTCTCGGATCTCCTTCGCCAGCTCCTGATGGGTGAGATACTCCTTGCCATCTGTTGTGTAGATCACATCGATCAGTTTCAGCTCAATCAGCTTTGTAACCAACTCCACAATGTTCCTCTCAGACAATCTAAAATAGTAGCAGAACCCTTAGTGACAGAGTGAATATTGAATACACATTTCTAAACCGAAAAATAATTATGGAATAATGTAGCCAAACCAAACCGAGAATGGTAATATGTGATCAGTTTGCTTCTTAGATGAAAAAAAGAAAAGACATAAATGTTGAAAATCAGACTCTGAATAATTCCTTTATTTTGTCTCTGAAGATATACATAATTTGTATCATGAGAAAATGAAATGGATCATAAACAATATGTAATCCTAAAAGAATACTTTCGTTTTCATAGTTCCTTAGTTTGTGTTACGCATCGACTGACAACAAACCTGTTGTAGTATCTATTGAAATGGCAAAACAGACAAATTTAAATGCTATCAGTGAAAAAAAAAATTGAAATTGATAAGGACCATCTGTCATCTGATGATCATTAATTGCAGCTGGTTGCGACACTCACATCGATGTACAAGGTGCCGCGACATATTGAACAAGAAACTGACAAAGACAGACACACAGCAAATAGAGTGGAAACTGAAAATGAGCCATTCGTTTCAACATAACAATGTGATAAAAATAATTACTTTTGTTTCGTCGTACTCAGCTGTACACGCTGAAAATCAGCTGCCAGACGTTTCACTTCTTCCCAGTCAGCCATGTTGGCAAGTGCACTGAAGAGTCCAGGAAGGGAGATAACTCCAACATTTCTATAGCAGCCGACACTTCTTGGTATGTCCGTTAGTCAGTGCATTTGTTAATTCGGTCATAATACTCCGTCATGTGACATTCTAAAACAAACATAGAAGACATTTGCCGAAAACATTCAAACACCTAAACAGAAGAAAAAAAAACACATTTCCTTCTCGTATATCTTAAATGGTACATCATTGTTTGTCTCGTTAATAATTAGTCTTTCAGCTCGACATTCAGAAGCAAAACCTACTGTGTGGAGTAGAATCTAAGTATCAACACTGTTGACAAAGGTAGATGTGTGGCATATGGTAGAGGATGTTTATTCAGTTTAAAGGCCACAGGCCCATCTACATAACAGGGGCGGTGGGGTAGCCTAGTGGTTAAAGTGTTCGCCCGTCACACCGAAGACCCGGGTTCGATTCCCAACATGAGTACAATATGTGAAGCCCATTTCTGGTGTCCCCCGCCGTGATATTGCTGGAATATTGCTAAAAGCAGCGTGAAACTAAACTCACTCGCTGCATTACGTAACAAAAATAAATACATACAGCGTCATGGTGGTGGTGATAATTAGAAACCTGTACAGATGAAGGGCATACATGACACGTTTTATGAATAACAACTTCTGTTTTATTCCCAACGTGGGTACAAAGCATTCACCTGATGGTGAAGCAAGGAACGTCATATAAAGAATACAAAAGACGTTGTTATCCATAAAGCGTGTCATGTATTCATGTTCGTCTATATTCTAAATGCCTTTCCAAAACTTCAGATGAAGGGTATAGCATCACTGTAATGAGGAACGTATAGGTAAATCTTCTTTGATATATTTTGAACACTTAATTAAGGTCAATGAATTTTCAGATTTGACTTGACACATAAGCCTGTCGACTTTTTGTTGTAAACTTGGTGTATGGAAAATACGTCTTCAAATCCTCTTCGATGACATTATTATGACAAAATCATAAAATATTCAAACTTCCAACAAAACCCTTTCTTCATATGTTTTTCACTATCTGTATTTCACCTGTTCTTAACAATGTTTACCCGTGAAGGTCCGGGTTAGAATATTGGCCTTCAGTAACCCATGCTTGTCGTAAGAGGTGACTGGCGGGATCGGGTGGTCAGGCTCGCTGACTTGGTTGACACATGTCATCGGTTCCCATTTGCGCAGATCGATGCTCATATTGTTGATCACTGGATTGTATGGTCCAGATTCGATTATTTACAGACCGCCGCCATATAGCTGGACTATTGCTGAGTGCGGCGTAAAACTAAACTCACTCACTCACTCTTAACAATGTTATCATTCGCCGGAGATCCTTTTGATGTAAATACTTTCTATAAAATGGCCCTATGGCGAAAGTAGACTTCATAGATGCATACAAGTCAAAATTCGAGGAATCACTAATCTCAGAAAACCATGTTTGGATATAACAATCCTTAATTCTTATGAAAAGTCACTGATAAACAAATCATTATTCCCTCTTGATTTTCCCAAACGAAACAAAAACAATAGATATTATAACGTCCATATTCATCTAAAACAGCTGCGTTTGTAGTTGAGTTTCCAACTCCCAATACAAATTTACGAAATTTTGTTTGAAATTGTTAAAATGTTTCCCGATTGTGCCAATCCCAAACTTCTGAGGCTTTATTTGTAACATGAGTGAGCTATTCCGTGCTTGTAACATGAGTGAGCTATTCCGTGCTTGTAACATGAGTGAGCTATTCCGTGCTTGTAACATGAGTGAGCTATTCCGTGCTTGTAACATTCCGTGCTTGTAACATGAGCTATTCCGTGCTTGTAACATGAGTGAGCTATTCCGTGCTTGTAACATGAGTGAGCTATTCCGTGCTTGTAACATGAGTGAGCTATTCCGTGCTTGTAACATGAGTGAGCTATTCCGTGCTTGTAACATGAGTGAGCTATTCCGTGCTTGTAACATGAGTGAGCTATTCCGTGCTTGTAACATGAGTGAGCTATTCCGTGCTTGTAACATGAGTGAGCTATTCCGTGCTTGTAACATGAGTGAGCTATTCCGTGCTTGTAACATGAGTGAGCTATTCCGTGCTTGTAACATGAGTGAGCTATTCCGTGCTTGTAACATGAGTGAGCTATTCCGTGCTTGTAACATGAGTGAGCTATTCCGTGCTTGTAACATGAGTGAGCTATTCCGTGCTTGTAACATGAGTGAGCTATTCCGTGCTTGTAACATGAGTGAGCTATTCCGTGCTTGTAACATGAGTGAGCTATTCCGTGCTTGTAACATGAGTGAGCTATTCCGTGCTTGTAACATGAGTGAGCTATTCCGTGCTTGTAACATGAGTGAGCTATTCCGTGCTTGTAACATGAGTGAGCTATTCCGTGCTTGTAACATGAGTGAGCTATTCCGTGCTTGTAACATGAGTGAGCTATTCCGTGCTTGTAACACGAGTGAGCTATTCCGTGCTTGTAACATGAGTGAGCTATTCCGTGCTTGTAACATGAGTGAGCTATTCCGTGCTTGTAACATGAGTGAGCTATTCCGTGCTTGTAACATGAGTGAGCTATTCCGTGCTTGTAACATGAGTGAGCTATTCCGTGCTTGTAACATGAGTGAGCTATTCCGTGCTTGTAACATGAGTGAGCTATTCCGTGCTTGTAACATGAGTGAGCTATTCCGTGCTTGTAACATGAGTGAGCTATTCCGTGCTTGTAACATGAGTGAGCTATTCCGTGCTTGTAACATGAGTGAGCTATTACGTGCTTACGTCTCCGATGCGGTTAGTAATCCAGTACGTGGTTCACAGTAAAACAATTTTATGAGCAGAGTTGCCTCCCTTACCAGTAACTGCATCCGCTGTGGGTAGGTTGGGCTTCAATTTTCGCCATTATTTTGATCGTTTGTTTATCAGCACAGTGCCATTTTAACTGGTTTCACTGCAGTAAAGAAAATGTTTGTGGACCCACTAAATCTGCACTGGGCTCTATACAGTAGGTGGGCGGGGCTTATGTGATTACGTGCGACGGAGAGGTGTTCGTTACCTGAAGCGCTCGTAAAATAATACGATAAAGTTCCCATCAAATGTCTTCTGCCTTTGGTACGTGGTTTAAATCTCATTTCGATTAGGTACCACTTTGACCTGTATCTGGATGGTGGTACATACTCATATATTAATGTCCGCAGTATGTATTCAGTAACGTCCTACAGGTGGTATCTCCCTAAAGACTACCCACAGGTGAACTACACCAGGTTAATAATAAAGCACACGACTTCTTGTTTATTGCATATTGTGACGTTTTGGCGTAGATTCCTACACCGTTATCAAGCTAGAACAACAATTACATGTTGTTGTTAATGTTGTTGATGTTTATGTGCCTGTATGTATAGATATTTTCAGAAAGCAAACCCCGTTAATTCGGTCAATACCTTCCCAGCTAAGCCGTAAAGAGTAATTTACCTCAAAATTAAGGAATCACTATACCGTTGATTCGGCCTTTAATTACATGTAGTCGTTATATTAAAAGAGTGTCCGGTATAGGCATGTTTACTGAATTATAGGGTCATATATAGGAGGCGATTATTGCACTTGTCTGCCAGAGTACATATCTGAGCTCAAGCTGGCGGCTTCCCGAGAAGACGTCCATTTGATTATGCTGAAACAAGAACAATCAACAGCAACGAGTAAGACCCTGGCCCTCGTAGCATATCGGTATACGTAAATAGGCTTGACACAGCCTATTGTCAAGCTTAAACCACACGGCACTCTGTAAGCAGTGCATAGCAGACTTGTGCTTTGACAACAATTTTTCAAACATAGATCAGGTGCGAGATAGTCATACCAGGGTGACCCCACCGGGATTCTTAAGCCACCAGTCATTTGATACCCCCTGCCTCGGGTGTTGCGATATAACGCCGCCCGTTTGATAACCCCTGCCTCAGTATAGCGATAAACAGCGGGAGACAATCGTACTCTGCATTGACTTAGGTTAGGATGACCTTTGATTCTATCAGTTTCATCTGTAGAGTTAATTAATGATGGAAGACTACCGGGTGGTACATTGTGTTGCCGAGAGACTTGGTTATGTTTCGTCTGATAGCGGGTTATCGTGAGTGAGGGGGTCCAATGTTAAAACAGATACCGAGCATATCTCAGCTGTATGGCCGAGCGTTGGCGTCACAAAATGCTGCACATTTGCTTAAAAGGACTGACGTGTGCATGGTACAAGTATAACTTTATTTATGTATATAAATGCTTTATCCACAGCACTGTACATCATTAGCGTAATAACGGCGTTAGCCATAGAACTATTTTTCTTGTTCATCACCACAACATATAAATGTGTTTATAGATAAGATAAGGAACGAATCAGTAATCAATTATTCGATACTTTTATTTACTTTCGTATTAGTAACTTAACCACAAGCTTTAGTAATATTTGCATAATGAATTCGATTAAATGTAATATAAAGTTATTGTTATTACAATCAGTACATCAATTTGTAAATACTTTCAGATATCGAGATCTCGAATATTCATGGATGTACTTATATGTTTTTTAAAAATCAATTGATAGACACAGGTTATATACAAGTCACCAATAATGTTTTTTTTGTAAATCATATATCTATTCTTTTTCTATTAATGATTTTGATAGTCACACAGGTAAGAAACCATTTATGAAAAACGAAAGCATTAACATAGCTTAAGGATGAATAAAGTGTGGTTTAAGCCCTCTTCGTGTAGTATATATCGGCGTCTCAGCTTTATGTGGGAGAAACGTATTACAGTTCCTACAGTTTTATCACAATGGTGAAACCCGCGAGAATGGTTTGGTTTTGACCAGTGTAATCAGGTCGACTCCAGGATACTAACCCACGATCACAGTTTACTGGCGCGTTAAAGGGCTGCAACTCTACCAAGCGAAGCGCGGCGTCAACTTATCAAGTATATCGGTAACATCAAAGGGTGAATCCTATAGTTATGAACATAAAATAGAAAAGGAAACCCACCATATTTGGGATTAGAACCTATGACC